AACTACGAATAAAATCAAGCAGTGCAAAAAATAAAATAAGATATTTGCAATAAAAAACTAATATTAAAATATATTTGCAAAGCATTTTTATAGCATTGGGTTTTCATTCAATTGCAATGCTCATTTTGATTTGCTTTTTAGTCAACCGTAAGTTTGCAATGCTGTTTTCATTTTGCACTTCACGTTTCTGTGTGTTTCACTTTGTGGCCCTGATTTGACAAGGGGACGGAGTCAAGGGAACTTGGGCATTTACAGCAGGCTCAGACCTAAGGGGCTGTAAGAACACCTCGGTGATACTGTATCTCCAGGTCATGACATAGCCTAAATGGAGGCAGGCCTATTGTAAACACCCAGGTTCCCTTGACTCCGTCCCCTTGTCAAATCAGGGCCACAAAGTGAAACGTGCAGAAACGTGAAGTGCAAAGTGAAAACAGCATCGCAAACTCACGGTTGACTAAAAAGTAAACCATAATGACCATCATAGTTGACTGGATGGGTTTTGTAAAGACAATGCTATAAAAAAAAAAATAAATAAATAAATATATATATATATATATTTTTTTTTTTTTTTTATATTTCTAAAATTATGTTTAACGGAGCAAGGACATTTTCACAGTATATCTTATAATATTTTTTCTTCTGGAGAAAGTCTTATTTTTCTTTTATGCTAGAATAAAATAAGTTTTTAATTTTTTAAGAACCATTTTCAGAACAAAATTTTTAGGCCCTTTAAGCTATATTTTTGTTTGATAGTCTACTGAACAAACCATCATTATACAATAACTTGCCTAATTACCTTAAGCTAATTAACCTAGTTAAACCTTTAAATGTCACTTTAAGCTGTATAGAAGTGTCTTGAAAAACATCTAGTACAATATGATTTACTGTCATCATGTTTAACAGAAAAAAGAATGTTGGAAAATGGTTACAATGAGTTCCATAATATGTTTTTTTCACAATATCCTCTTTCGTGAAAAAAGCAAGAACAAAACGTATAAAAGTAACAAAAGGGTCGGCAAATGAGTACATTTTTATTTTTGTGTGAACTATCCCTTTAGAGCAAAAAATAAATAAATAGTTGGGGGCAGTGTTGCCCAGTCCTTCTTTCCAAAACTAACAGGGCATGTTTATTCTGACCACCAGAGATTTGGTCCATCTCCAGAACAGGGGAGTGAACAGTATTATCAGACTCTGACGCAGAAAGAAAAAAATGATATTGTGTGATTTTGACTGTATGTTTTATCTCAGACCCAAGCAGCTGTAAGTTTGTTTCAGTGTTATAAAAACCCTTTTTATCTCTCACATCTGGAAAAAAAGGTGATGCTGATGTTGCAAAACTGGCCAAGGCCTGGGAAACACATTGTGGAAATGCTACACTGATTATGCTCTCTACAGGAGTTAGTCTTTTAGTGAAAAAATTAAATTTTAAAGAAATTTTATTTCATTTCAAGTAATTAAAATAATGTCACAATATGTTTATATTTCAAATAATTGCAGACATTTTTAACTTCCTATTTTACAATAAAGTATTATTTTTACATAAACAATAAACGTCACATTAAACAGATTATGTCAGAACAGTTAGATTGCTAAAATCTCTATGATACGCAATGGAAAAACAAATACATACACTGATAAACCCAACAGATTGTACACGTGGAATCACTTATAAAAATGTTTCCACTTGAACCTAATCATTTTTGGTCCACGTGTGTAAAATTTCTTTCAGTCATACAAAATATTGTTTTATTCAAAACACAAAAAATGCTGAACGTTTCTGTGAGGGTGGAATTTAGGTCTTTATTTATTTTTATTATTAACATTAAACATGTTTCTATTGTAGTAAAAATAGTTAAATAATTATGTATTTTGGTATATAGGTTACCCTTTGTATAGACATTTTCCCCCCCCAAAAAAAAACATTGTTTTGGTTTATGGTTAATAACAGTTAATTTGTGGTTACCTGTTTTTAATTATTTGTAGTAAAACCACACTTTGTATTCATATAGGTAATAGTGTAAGCCCAGTTTAACAACAACAAAAACCCTGTGGAAAATCCCTATGAAAGAAACAAAAGAGTGTGTGTGTCTTGTACGTTTGCAGATTTGTCACCTGTGAAACTGCAGATAAACTCCAGCATTGCTCTTATCACAACTCAAGGGCAGAAAGGAGAGGGAAACGGGTTTTCGGCTCCATAAACTTCACACAGAGTGATACATGTCTAACTTTGATGTATCTCTGTAGTGCTGCATGACCTTGCACTCATTACTTTTACATGCAGCATCTCCTGTAAGCAGCAAACGATGGGAAAAGTACAAAATGTAGGAGCTAATATTTTACTTCTGCTCTGTAATATTATCAGATTATAATACTGTCATGGACAGCAACTTGCGTCATTTTATCAAGATTTATCTAAAGAAATTTTTCAACACTACACTATCAACACACAAAATGCTTTGGAGGAACATTATTTTCTCCTTTGAAATATATTTTAGGTCAATTTTGGATTTTAAACAACCTGACAGTGAAAATCTTAAAAGTTTAAAAGAAATAAAAGTTCTTAAAGCAAGAAGTTGTAATAATGTAAATATTCTGATACCACAATTATAGTGTGTAAATATTTTTATATCTAAAAAGGTAAATTTACACTTAAAAATAGTTCATTCATTCATTTTCCTTCAGCTTAGTCACTTTATTCATCAGGGGTCGTCACAAAGAGCCGCCAAATTATCCAGCATATGTTTTACGCAGCGGATGCCCTTCAAACTGCAACCCAGTACTGGGAAATAGCCATACACACTCATTCACACTCATACACTATGGCTTTTTCAATTCACGTATGTCGTTGTTCTGTGTGGGAAACCGGAGAACATGCAAACTCTACACATAAACTCGAATACCAGGATTCGAACCAGTGACCTTCTTTCTGTGAGGCGACAGTGCTAACCACCGTGTCACCCTAAAAATAAATTGGAAACAATAATGCTTTTTTCAATATACATGACATATTTTTTTATTCATAAAAGTTTCTAAAGAGGCAGCGGGGCATATTTACATTATTAAAATGCTGTGCACATTAGTTCACTATTAATATTACTTCACTATTTTCACCATAAGGTTCTTCAAGGAACTTTTTTTCTGTGGCATCTATGTAAAAACCTCCCACTTTAAAACCTTTATACATATTTAAAAGTAGATAATAGATTGTAGATTAAAAAAAAAAATAATAAATATATATATATATATATATATATATATATATATATATATATATATATATATATATATATATATATATATATATATATATATATATATATATATATATATAATACATCAGTGCTTCTTTTCTTTCTTTCTTTTTTTTCCCCTTTCATGTTTAGGGTTTATATGTCATGGAAAAATCTGGAAAAGTCATGGAATTTTGACATGGCGTTTTCCAGGCCTGGAAAAGTTTTGGAAAAACAGAAAAACCCACAAAGTTTTGATAAAGTCATGAAAAACAGATCTCTGTATACTTGAATATATACTTGTCTTGACCTCTTTTCTGTCCTTGGCCAATAACATACTCTCACATTATTAGTGTGGTGTAAGAATTATTTAAATTAATTTTACATAGATATAAATATAAATTGGGCATCACGGTGGCGCAGTGGGTAGCACAATCGCCTCACAGCAAGAAGGTCGCTGGTTCGAGTCCCGGCTCCGGATTTCTCTAAAGTTCAAATACATGCACTATAAGTGAATTGGGTAAGCTAAAATTATCCATAGTGTATGTGTGTGAATGAGTGTGTATGGATGTTTCGCAGTGATGGGTTGTGGCTGGAAAGGCATCCGCTGTTTAAAACGTATGCTGGATAAGTTGGCAGTTCATTACCTTGTGGCGACCCCAGATGAATAAATTGAAACTAAATAGATTGTTGTGTGTTTTACAATATGCTGTAATAAGTTTTTAAATGTATTGTTTTTTTACCACGCATACATAGACATTGCATGAAACATTAGGTCATGAAAATTTACTTGAAAGTCTTGGAAATATCATGGAAAAGTCATGGAACTTTAGTAGTAAAGATGTGTATTTGCAGCCTTTTATTTTGTTCTTGCTTAAATGTAATCTGTCATTATTGCTCTCCTGTAGTTTAAACACTGTTAACAGCACTCTTATTAAAGACCTTTGTGAAGAACGTCCAAGTCATAACACTAAATGCACCACTGCATACCAAAAAGCAGCTTATTTCATGTTTAGATAGTGGTATCACACCAAGGCTGTGATGACATTATTTATTCACCATAAACAGACTAATGTTCTTTCCTTAGAGGTCACTTGGACTGTATCTAATAATCCATAGAAAAATGAACAGCTCTCACTGAGGAAGATCTGAAAGCATTAGGCTGCGCAGTTTAATGATCAATTGTGTGTCATAGATTTGATGCATAAATAAGGCTCATGGAGTCTCTTGGGATGGAAATATTGACAAAAAAGAAAACTTGGTTTACTCTCTTATTTTATTATTATTATTCACATTTTTTCCCAAATCGTCCTAGTTATTTTACACATACAGTACCTAAAATATTTTACAGTACATAAATTAAGCATTTAAGAAAATATATTCACAAATATTTTACAAAAAACACATTACATTTACATTCAAAATGACCACCAAAGCCATCAGTGTTCCCATATCGAGATTTCAAGTTTATAAGAGTATCATACTCACACACACACACTCTCTCTCTCTGATCTTGCGCCCTCAACTTATTTTGAACCATTTACCCACAAACATCAGGTCAAAGCAGACAAGCTTTAAAAAAAAGAAAGAAAAAATATAATTCATATTATATTTGGCAAAATAGTGCACTCTGAGATGTTGAGCGTTCATTTTCATGGCCTCTGGTCCTCTGGTTTCTCTTATATAGTCCTCAGTTCATACTTGTTTAAGTATGGAAAAGTCTTAGGGGATTTGATTGACAGAGTCCTGCAGATGCAGAAAGAGCCATGACTACCGGATGTGAGAGATGAATGTTGGCGTCTCAGTTGTCGAACTGAGGTGTGTTGAGGAGGTTTGGGTGCTCGTTTTGGTGTTTAGTAAGTTCTGCTGATAGAGCGTTCGCTCTCTGATTCTCTGAGAAGCCGATTCCTCATCTCGCTGCAGATCTGCTAACTTCTGGTATCGCCGCTGAAACACCAGCCAGAACTGGTCCTCCTGTAAAACAACAGTGTACAATGTTCACTATTTTGCTGGATTTCAAATAATAATTCATTAATGAGTAACACTGGTAAACACACTAAAGATTCGTTTCAGAACAATATGATAGTATACTGGTAAACACACTAAAGATTCATTTCAGAACAATATGAGAGTTTACAGTTGAAGTCTGTAAGATGAATTATTAGCCACCCTGTTAATTTTTTCCCCAATTTCTGTTTAACGAAGAGAAGATTTTCGAAGAGAAGACTCATTTCTAAACATCATAGTTTTAATAACTCATTTCTAATAATTGATTTATTTTATCTTTGCCATGATGACAGTAAATAAAAACTATAAAGACACTTCTATACAACTTGAAGTGACATTTGAAGGCTTAACTGGGTTAATTAGGTTAACTAGAGAGGTTAGGGTAATTAGGCAAGTTATTGTATAATGACGGTTTGTTCTTTAGACTATCGAAAAAATATATAGCTTAAAGAGGCTAACAATTTTGACCTTAAAATAGTTTTTAAATAATTAACAAATGCTTTTATTCTAGCTGAAATGAAACAATTAATACTTTAATACTTTCTCCAGAAGAAAAAATATTATCAGACATACTGTGTAAATTTCCTTGCTCTGTTAAACATCATTTGGAAAATATTTAAAACAGAAAAATAATAATTCTGACTTCAACTGTAATTGTAGTGAAATGTGAATGAGTACTAAATATCAAGTTCAAAAATGTATATGCGTAACAAACCGGAATTGATGTAATAATTCAGTAAAAATCATGACCACTGTTCAAGGTCTCTTTGACAAGTTCATTTCAGTTCATGCAAAAATCAGATTCATGAATGAATCAGTTAAATGATTGAATTTAGTTCACGAAACCGATCTGAGGGATTACTTTGCCAATTGAACAGTGTTGTTATTGTTTACTAAATTGATTAAAATTGATTAACGTTTAAGAAGTCAAATAAATCTAAAATAAAATAGAAAATAAAAGAACAACTTTAGGAAGTGTCCTCACAAATTAATAAAAGTAATAAAATAAAAAGTAAATAAAATAAAACTTAAATTTGAATTTAAAAATAAAACTACAAGACCACTAGTATCGTTAAAACAAAATTCAGACTTTTTTGTCTCAAAAAAACTACATTTTTACTAAAATACAAATAAATGCTAATTGAATACATATGATAAACACATTGTTATAATAATAAATATTTAATAACTGAACTTTAAAAAAAAACTCACTGACTTAATCAGCATCAGATAAATCGATATCATGGGCTTTAGATATGTTTATATTTGTAAAAAAAAAAAAAAAAAGCTGATTTCTTGCCCATCACTTTAAATGCAAATGAGCTGCTGCTCCTCGCCTCCTTTCCACAAGAGGGTGGAGCTTTTAATAGACTGCAATGACCTGTATATTTTTAAAATATCCCCTTTTCCATAATAGAGCAAGTTAGATGGGTTAGTTGTTGTTTTATGTTGTCTGTACTCTTTACAATGATAAAATGAGCGTGTGTATTTGTGTGTGTGTAGTGCAGGAAGTCTTACCGGAGTCTGCAGCACAGATGCAGGGACATCACGCCGCACTTTCTTGGATTTGGCACAGTACAACTCCAAATGCTGGAGGTCACATCCACGCACACAACACTGGTCTACAATGCCTTTCCCACGAGAGCGAGGACCACCGCTACGAGCTGCTCCAGGTTTGCCTGATCATCAACAGACAAATTGAAGTTTTAATGTATAAGAATTAGATGCAACATTCATAGTCCCAATGTGGGATCTTGCTGGACGACAAATGATGCCATCTATTCTTAAAAATAATTAGATTACATCAAATTACCATAAGTAAACAATAAAGGTTAACAATTTCAAAAACAGAAATGCTTTCTACACTGTTTAAGAAAGTAATCAAATGATAATACATGCTTCTAAATAAATGTTTCAGTAGCTATTCAGCACATAAGAATGAATTCTGAAGGATCACATATCATATACTGAATGATGTAAACCCTTTGAACCTCTGGAATATTCATTCAATCATCCATTCATTCATATTCCTGTAGCTTAGCCATTATTTATCAGGGGTCGACATTAATAAACCACCCAACTGTTCTGCCATATGTTTTATGGATCAGATGCTCTACCAGCCATAACCCAGTACTGGGAAACCTCAGGAATATGTTAAATATATTGAATCAGATAACCTTTATTTAAAATTTTAATAATATTTGCTATATTTCCATTATTTTTTTAGCTTAACCCTTTTTATTTTAGCTGAATTTAGTTCAAACAAAATGGAAATTTCATTACTGTTTACTTGCACGCAAGTGCTTTTCAACATTTATGAAGAATGTTAGAAACCAGCAGCCATTGGTATCCTTAATAATAAAAAAGATGTCAGCAGCTGTTGGTTTCCAACATTCTTCAATATATACACTACCAGTCAAAGGTTTGAGGTCAGAATAATTTTTAAAATTCATTTTATTAAAATAATTTAAATAAAAATATTCTGTTTCTCAAGCAGGAATTTATTAAAAGTAAAAAAATTGTTCAATTGTTGAATATTTATTAAATATTTATTAATTACTTATTATATGTAGTTTCAAATGAAATTATTACTCCAGTCATTATTGCTTTTATTACTATTACCATTAATAATAATTATTATTAGAGTGATTTCTGTAGCATCATGCGAATGAATAAAGCTGAAAATCCATCTTTAAAATCATTGGAATAAATTATTAAATTAAACGATAAACTATTTTTAAACAGTTATTTTATAGTGCAATAACATTTCACAATTTTACTATTTTTACTGTATTGTTGATGAAATGAATGCAGCCTTGGTGAGCAAGAGAAACTTTTTTTAATACATTTAAAACATCCCTAAACTTTTGACCGATAGTGTATATATAGATGAGGTCAAAATTATTAGCCCTCCTATGAAATTATTTATTCTCCGATATATCTCAAGAAATATTTAATGGAGCAAGAATTTTTTTTTTCCCACAGTATTTGCAATAATATTAATATCTTCTGGAGAAAGCCTTATTTGTTTTATTTTGGCTAGAGTAAAAACAGTTCTTAGAAACACTTTTAGTGTCAATATTATTATTATACGATTTTTTTAAAAAGAACAAACCACTGTTATACAATGACTTGCCTAATTACCCTAATTAACCAACGACGTAAAAAAACTAAATTCAAAATTTTATAGCAACAAACTTCAGGACATTTTTGAGTTACATCAAATAAAAATCGAGAAAATGCAGTAACTGGGTTGAAGGTTGAATCACTTAAAAAAAAAAAACTCAAAAAGTTTGTTAAAACTTTAAAATTAAAATTTGAGTAAACTTTTTTTTTTACAGTGTAGTTAAGCCTTTAAATGTCAAAGATAAAAGAAACAATTTATTAGAAATGAGTTTATTAAAACTATTATGTTTAGAAATGTGTTGTAAAATGATTGTCTCCGTTAAACTTTAAAAGAAATTTTACAGGAGGGCCTATTATAATGACTTAGACTGTACTTCTTGTGTTCAACTGACAGAATTTTTTTTTTTTTAGTGAATTATCTTTTTACCCATAAAAAAATCTAACCCTAAACCTTTGAGTTGATTTATCCCATTATCAGGATTAACAAGTATAACATCATTGACAAACAATCAGCAGCTAAATTGTTTGAAATAATCTCGTAACTGAGGCCGTGTCATAATGTTCTTTTTGAAGAAAAGGAGTGAGAAAATGGGAGAGAAACGTGTCAAGCTGGCCTTGGATATGGAACAGGGTGAAAGGGCCTCAGTTAGCAGAAATGTTGATATCAACAACCGCAAATCAAGAGTACATGTTGGTGTGGTAACTTCTACTGTCACTTATGAAGTGTTTAATACTATAACTGCAGACCGCCTACAACAGCAGATGGTCATGCTTTGCTATTGGTCGGCTCAGCTGATCTACAGTACATCAACGCCTCAGCGATAGCAGCTTGACTTGATAGCGCAGTCTGTATCTTCAGGGCAAGGCCACTTTTAATACACTGATAATACATATGTGTTATGAATATGATATGATGTTGTGAGCGAGATTCAAGATTTAGAGATTTGGATATGTTTGTGTCTTCACTAAATGGCACACAAATGACTCGCTTCAAACAATCACATGTAGGTTTGCAGTTTGCACTCTCACCTATGTAAAAGCCTCTGTCTCCGCACACAAACTCCAGATCGTCCACTAGTTCTCGTCCGCAGCGTGCTCTGGCCCCTTCAGTGTTGTCTGGCAGGATGAGAACGCAGCACAGAGAGTAGAGGACACACACACTCCGCCAGCTGGGCACCTGTTTCAGCACAGACAACAAGCTCTCAGACACCTGCGGCTTATCTCAGACATACACTCCTATTGCGTGAAACAATGAACACAATTCTTGACGGATGACGCGCTCGCTGTGTTTTGTTTTGCAAACCTTCGTGGTTTGAGAGCATGCATGAAAAGTCCAGATGGCAGTGCACTGCGAGATCTTACAGACTTAACCTTCTGGTGACGGCCAAATGTTTTTTGGGGGAGAGAAATGCATGCACTGTGTTTTAATCCATTGTTTATTATACCATAATTTAAACTAGTAAACTTGTTTTCGTTACAGTTATGACATGGTAAACACTTTTTGAGCAACTATTCAAGCTGATGTCAATCTTCAGACTTAAATTCGGTTTGCTTTTAAAGGCAGACGATTCCTGATGTCAGGAAAATTGTGCACAAAAATATTTAAAAGTTTTATATACCTATGGCATTAAGTTCTTTCATTCATTTTTCTTCAGCTTAGTCTCTATTTCAGAGGTCATCTCAGCAGGATTAACCCTCAACTATTCCAGCATATGTTTTGTGCAGCGGATCCCTCCAGCCACAACCCAGTACTGGGAAACACCCATATGCAATCATACACTACAGCCAATTTAGTTAATTCAATTCACCTATAGTATTTTGACTAGGGGAAACCTGCGAGAACATGGGGAGAACATGCAAACTCCACACAGGAATGCAAACTGGCCCAGCTGGGACTCCTGCTGTGAGGCGACAGTGCTAACCACTAAGCCACCATGCCATCTACAACATTAAATTTTTTTTTTAAACATATTTTACTCTAAAACTGCATGAAAACCAAATGTATGAATCCAAAGTTATATTTCTGATATGAAGTTGATCTCTCGAAGAAAAAATTACATAAGATTTTGTTTGGGTGTATTGCAGAAAGTTTCTGCATGATGAAATGATGATGATAATAATAAAACAACAGCAGTGGATTCATTTTATTTTATACACTCATATTTTAGGATTTATTTTTATCAAGTGCAAAAACTTTTACAGAGTAATGAAATTCGTTTTTAAAAAGTTAAATTCTACCCAAACAGCAGCAGATGATTAACCCTTGTGTACCATGTTAGGGATGAAAACTTCCACTAAATTAAACTAAAAATGCATCAGATAAATATATATTTTTCTAATTTTATTGCATAAATCTGTTAATTAACCTCAGTCCTGATCAAAACTACAAAATGTTTTAATTTAACTCTTCAATTGGCAAGTTCACAAGTGATTCCCAGAGTTAACCGTTGAAATCTTTAAAATTTCAAAGCATTTTCACAAAATATGTCTAAATAAGATTTGTCACCATAAATCATTCTGCTAGCTGAAACACAGAGAAAGTTATGACCAAATTAGGACTCAAAATCACCCCAGAGTGGATGAAAACATGCCCAACAGTACACAAGGGTTAAAAACAAATGTTTGAAATAGATTCCTTTCAGTTTCTCAAAATCTAAATAAAATTTATTCCACATAATTTATTTTTGGCATGCATGAAAGATCTATATTTTTCTACATCCCACACGACAAAGCGTCATCATAATAGCTCCCTAACATGCAAACCTGCACTGGAGGCAGTAATTGTTACTCACAAAAAAGGTGATTTGACTCATCCAAGGAAACCAGTCATTTGGCAAAAAAAAAAGGAAAGTTGTTTTGACTAACTTACTGTAAGTGGAATCTTTCTAAGCATCACCCCAAAGCAAAATAATAAAATGTGCCCTCAAAATAAGATAAGATGCAACAAGTGTGACAGTACTAGATTTAAAAGCCTGATCCTTTTTCCTAAGTGTGTGCGTGTAGAAATCTTACCTTCAGCATGAATCCTGGCATTATCTGAAGGCGTTTGGCGTGACAGGTTGGCATTGCGTCTGATGGCATGTCTTTTTTTTTTTTACTGTTTGGTGTCTCTATAGAGCTACTGGCTACTGAATTGTCCTCTGCTCTGCTCTTATAGGAGGAACAAGAGGGACGGGCCATTGACACACACACACACACACACACACTTACCCTTCTTCAACGCACACACATCACTCCTAATCATAAAGCTGGAGACGCATGAAACTATAAAAGAAATCTGATTATTAAACATCAACAAACCAAAACTGACGTACTGATGTTATCCATCTTAAATTAGAGTTGATGCATTAAACTAACATTAACCCTATACACCCACTGACTTTTTTATTGGTTACTACTTGCTAGGACAGAGTTGCACTCTTTTGTCTTCAATTCTGCATAAACTCTTTATGGCACAAATTGTACTCCATTAAAGTATCACATAGTTTCTGCAGATTTTTTAGCTCCACATTAATGATGCGAATCGCCTGTTCCAGCACATGTCAAAAGTGCTGTGTTGGATTTAGTTCTTGCGACTGCGAAGGTCATTCACGTTTCATTGAACTCATTGTCTCGTTCATGAAAGCAGTTTGACATCATTTGAGTTTTGTGATATGGATACTGTGTATTATCTGGCTGGAAGTAGCCATTATTAGATGGGCACACTGTGGTCATGAAGAAAGGGACATGGTCAGCAACAACAAAAGTGTTTGCTGGCCGAAAGTGTGCCTAGAAAATTTTCCCACACTATTACACCCGCAGCAGCAGACTGAACCATTGATAAGGGATCATCTGTGGCTGGAAGTTAACGAGAATTATTTACATTTTTAAAATGATCCATTAAATGTATTTTTATTAAAGTCTACCCCAAGCCAAAACACAACTATCACAGTAATGTAAAAACAGTAATAACACAGAGTTCATTCATTCATTTTCTTGTCGGCTTAGTCCCTTTATTAATCTGGGGTTGCCACAGCGGAATGAACTGCCAACTTATCCAGCACGTTTTTACACAGCCGATGCCCTTCCAGCTGCAACCCATCTCTAGGAAACATCCACACACACACACACACACACACACACACACACACACACACACTCATACACTACTGACAATTTAGCCTACCAAATTCACCTATACCACATGTCTTTGGCCTGAGCACCGGAGCACCGGCAAGAAACAGAACATGCAAACTCCACACAGAAACGGCAACTGAGCCGAGGCTTGAACCAGCGACCTTCTTGCCTGTGAGGTGACAGCACTACCTACTGCATCACTGCTTTGCCCCAATTACACAGAGTATTACTCATATTATTTATTAAATTACCCTATAAATTAAATTGGAAGTTAAAGAGAATTCTTTATTTTTATTTAATTATCAATAGACCCTTTTCACACTTCTGGTTTTCTCAGTAGCGGAAGTCATCATAGTAGGGAAAACTTAAGAGCGCAGTGAATGGGAGAATAAAACAAATATTTTTTTTACAACCTTATTTGCACAAATAATAAAAGACAAACTCCACGATAATGTTATAAAGACTTAAAAAGTCAAAAAAAATGTGTGAGACTAATAACAGCAGCCAGAGGAGAGAATAACATCAAATGTACTGTCCTGTCCTGTAGACGCTGCATTAGAAACCCCTCACACAGTGGTAATTTGTCTTTTGTAATTTGAAGCAAAGATGATTTATTACTGACATAAATACATATAAATTTTCATGTTTTTTTTATAATAATATTAAACTTAAAAACTTGTTTTTGTCTTTTTAACCTGCCCAATACCATTTTAGCCAATTAAATTTCAGCACCCTGGGTTGCCTTGGTGAAAAGCAGCGTGTTTGATTCATTCAGCCAGAAAGGCTCTGAAAGCATGCGTCCGTGACCGAAATGCGACCTCCAGTGGACAAGAGCAGACTCCGAAATGAGACTCAGATTCAGAGTTCTACGTGAGGTTATTAATTAGCAAAAAATATAAATATTATGAACCTAAACAATAGGAGAGCTGGTTACATAGTAACACCGTGTCCTGACAACACGCTACAGGATGAGATTTGCAGTGATGATCACTGTTTCTCATTGGCTGTTTGCACCAGACGAAACACGACAGACAGTTAAATACAGACATTCCAGAAGCACAGAATATGCACTCACTCACAAAATGGTAAGGTTTATAATCTAATTAATACATGTTAAACCTCTTTAACATTATTAAATGTACATGCTGAATCACTGATATGTGTTGGTTTGCATTATTTTACAGTTCTGAAGTTCAATTTCAAACTGTTTGTTTCATTTTCAAGATCTGAGTGGAACTATCTGCTGCTGCTTTCAGTAGTATGCAATAAATGTCATGTAAAATAGCATTAAAATTCGGATTATCAGCATTTAACACTGACTAAAGCAGATGAGGTGTACCTGAGGTGATCAGGTCATCAAGTTTTCTGTTATTCAGCTGCAAGAAATAGAAGCCGTTTCCAATATATCCATTCGGGGTATTGGTCAGGACACAAATCCTTTTAGCTGTTGCTTTTATTTAGAACACAATTTAAATCAGCCTTAAATCAGTGTTTCAGTTTGATAAAATCACACTGAACTGAGCTAAACTGAACTGTACTGAACTTAAACACTAAAGACTGAACTACACTGTTCCAGTTACTATGACCATTTATGTGAAGCTGCTTTGACACAATCTACATTGTAAAAGCGCTATACAAATAAAGCTGAATTGAACTGAAATTGAATTGAATTGATAGTCTGACATGGTTCTGTTGGTTCTCAAATTGGTAACCTGCCTTACCTGTGTTTTAATCCAGCAATGTAATGCCTAGTTCAACCACCGGGTGTCAAACTTACATACTGCACCTTTAAATTGTATTTTATTAACCTCTACCCCTACTCTAAACACAACCATCACAGTAATGTAAAAACAGTACATATACAAAGTATTTCACTATTATTTATTAAATTCCCATTCATTTGTTTTTTTTTATTAACGTCTACCATTACCCAAAACCCAACTCGTTGCAAAAATCTGAATTATTTTTCTACATTGTCACTAATAATGTGCTATATTGATGCAAGTATCCGCAGCTGCATGCCATCTAGACTTTACTAGTGATAAGGCAGGCTGGATCAATGTGTTCATGTTGTTTACAGCAAATTCTGAGCCTACCATCTGAACGTTGCAGTAGAAATCAGACCACCTTTTCTTCTACTGTCCAGTTTTGTTGAGCCTGTGTGATTTGTAGCCTCAGTTCTCTGTTCTTGACTAACAGGAATATCCCTAGTGTCTCTTCTTCTTCTGCTGTAGCTTCTGCAGCTCAACTGCTTCAAAGTTTGATGTGTTGTGAGTTCAGAGATGCTCTTCTGCGGACTTTGATTGAATTATGCGAGTAGCTGTTGTCTTTCAATCAGTCTATTCATTCTCTGACCTTTGGCATCAGCAAGGTATTTTTACACACAGAAACACCACTCACTAGAGATTCTCTTTTTTTTTTAGACCTTTTTCTGTAAAAATAGCAGAGATGGTTGTGTGCAAAATTCCTCAGACCAGAAAATACTCAGACCAGTCTGTTTAGCACCAACAACCATACCACATTCAGTGTCATTTAAAGTCCTCATGAACCAGAAGTTGTGGAGACTTTTATTTCAGTAAATCGATGTACTTTCAACTGAAACAGAATATTTAGTAGGGAGCAGGGCTTTCTTTATTGCACATCATTTCTTTGTGGCAAATTAAAGGTAAGAGGGGCGTGGTTAAGAATATCAACAGAGAAGGACCGAAAAGTCAGAAATTGACTTTTATTGAAGATATATATAAAAATTCTGTGGATTTACAATCATGGATTAATTGTTTGCCTAAAGACTTCCGGTTATGTCATGGTGTTGAGTGGACCTGAAACAGAGCTCCGCAACAAATGCTGATTTAAATCTACTCCTCTATCTCAACAAACATTGACAGATGGATTCCATTTTAAACACGAAAACATCTTAACCTTGCATGATCCCACCAAAACCAATTAAAGCAACACAGAAACAAGGCAAATCTACTGTACCTGGAGAAGTCGAGGCAGATGCTAAATCCAGCGAAGCTAATGTTTAAGAGGGAGCATCAGGTGCTAACATTGGCCAAGAACCTGCGATTCTTGAGGCTATCCACTCAATGAAATTAGCCTGCTGTGCGACTTGATGATTTACTGAAGGCGATTAACAGAGTGCAACAGAAAACTGAGAGTAACAGAAACTGAGGATCGAATCGGCACTCAAGAAGATAACGTCTCAGAGCTGCAAATGCAAAATTGCAGTCCGTCATAGAGCTGCTCTCATTAAAGGTCGATGATCTGGAAAATCGTAGCAGTCTGTCCAATCAACGGCTGGTGGGACTTTCAGAAAAAAATAAATAAATAAATCGAAGGACATGTGCACCTTTTTAAAGAAATTACTTCCCGAAAGTCTTGGCCTGGAAAACTTTCCTGGTCCCCTTGTAATTGAGAGAGTCCATCAAATTGGCAAACTCTCAGAAACTCACTCTGCCTTACCACTGAGAGCTGTGATAATGAAATTGTTCACCTAAATAATAGCAATGTGCGCTTGCAAAAAAAATGTTTTCGATTATAATTTCACATGGACTTTAAATCATCTTTTATCCCTATTCTGACAGAATTTACAGTTTTGGGTAAACTATCCATTTAAAATGTGTGAAACATGCATTTGAGAAAACTGAGCTAAAGCTTGACTTCACAAAATGAAATTGGAATATCAATATCATTGCTTTCCATTTATTACAAAACAATACTGCAGGACACTTTTAGTTGTAATGAACAGAACTAAATAAAATGAAGAAATTATCAGCTGAATTAAAATAAATTGTCAAATATTCTGTGAAAAATTCACTGTTACAACTACTGTTGCTGATAACGCTGAATGTAGAAATCTAACATAATGTGTACAACAATTTGTACAAGTGTTTTTATGCTCTGGATCATTTTTGAAGAATTATTCAGTGGCATATTTTGAATGGCTGGTTGTCACCACCTATTGGTTAAATAATGTAATTGCGGCCTACAACTTTCATTTTTGAGCATCAAGTTAAATGCACATGACGGGGATTTTAATCTTTACCATAAACATTAATATTTTATCTAAACTATAAATTATTATCCCCGTACTTTTTTTTATTTAACTTTGTGTGTTTATAACTTCATAACTAAATCAAAAGACTAAAGACTGAATCTCTTGATTTTTGCTTTCAGATTTGAATGCAGCGATTCGAAGGATTAATAAACATAAGCAAATCACCATCACTAATAATTTATGTTGTGTGGGTGTTGAGATCCCGATCTTTTAATGATCAATCGTGCAGCTTACACTGAATGCATTAATGTAGGCTAAACAAGTAGTGACAGAAAACACCTTTAATGAAACCATGCACATCCCGAATAACCTACAACAACTTCTTCTATCATTATTATGTTTTACAGAATGGCCTAATTGCTTTTATATGTGATTTGAATGATGCAAGAGGCAATCTCTCTGTGATCGTTACAAACTTAGGATTTATCTACCAGTAAAAAAATGTATTAATCCACAGGTCACGTGTGTTCCAAACCGTGGGTTGTGATCCGTACGATTCAAGGATCAACCGTGATCCGTTACACCCCTAATTCAAATGAAAGAAAACTAATTTAAAATAATCTTTAATTAATGTTTATGTTGTCAATAATTGCTTAATGAACATTTGATTAATGAACATTTGATTTGTTCATTTTCAGATACAAAACTTCAGATACAGAATGCCTAAAGTGTGGCTGTGACATTTACTTTTGAACTAACATTTCAACAAACCATGATAATATTAAATTGATAATTATTAAGTAAATAATACCATTACATACCGTTACATCTCTAGTTTGAGCTTCTGCAGATCATGTTGACCTCCTCTACATGCCTAAATGCACTGCCATGTGATTGGCTTGTGTGATCTTTTCTTAACTAGCAGTTAAATACCTAGTAAAGTGGCTCTTTACATTTTTATAATCATCTCCTATAACAAGATTCTTTGCAGCATGACATTGAACTTCATCTTAAGAGTGACGACAGCAGAGAAAGAAGTTATCAGGAGTATATCTCAGCCAGAAGCTGGTTGGGTGATTTTGTAGTGTGTAGGCTTGAGCTAATGATAAATGAGCACGAAGATAGATGTAGGAACACGTTCACAGTCAATCAGTGTACTAACAAAGTACATGCTTACAGATAAAATAAAGACAAGACGTTATGTCAACCGTCAGACGTGTGGGTACACCAATTGGTTCATGAAATAAAATGACTAACGCTCAGTTTGATAGGAAGCTTTTTTATTTGAATGGAGAATTAAAGCAGCTAAAGCAAATCAAGATTCTTATGATACCCGTGCAAAACCAAACATGCAATTCTTAAATAAGTCATTATATTTACCGCATATAATGTTTGTGAATTTGTCTGGCAATGGTGTGCAAGTGATCACTTCACTCAAATACTCAAGTGACAAAATCTGTGCAAATTTATCAATCAAAGAACGTCCTCGTCCTTTAAAGTTTGCATTTAAACACAATGATGCATATTATGGAAATTTATTACCTGATTTTATGCGACACCCTGATCCTCTAAATCTGATCTGTGGGCTTTAAATTAAAGATGCTGAGCGCGGCTTCCTTCTGCCTCAACTGAGCTCGTAGGCGGTTGATCCTCTCCTCGTGGGCCAACTGTTCAAAATCAAACGCAAGACAGCTTTCGACCCTGGGGAGCACCAGGGCCTCTAAACGCTCACTGTCATCCTGATCCGTCTCTCCCTCTCCACCTGCTGCTTCAGGCTGTTGTGAGATGCCAGAGGAGGTCTGGAGGATCTGCTGGAGGATTTTGGGCTGGCAATCAGTCTCTTCCATAGACAAGGCCTCGTGACTGGACTCCAGATCCAAAGGAGTTTCTAGTGGTGTGCTGCTCTGTGACCTGGACTCTGAGGTCAGCTCGGCATTCTGTTAAATCACAGACAAAAAAAACATTCATTACAAGGAGTGCAATGGATTTAAAATGGCACCAGATTAGTTAATTACTTGTCATAATTATACTATTCTGAAAGGATATTCTCCCATGGATTGCTAATTATAAGTACCCATGTTATTAAAACTATTTGCTGTTTTCTGTGTTAGTTTACCCAAAAATAAAAATTCTGGCTGCATCTGAAATCGCAAACTTCCCATGCTATACACTACCTGACAATTGATCCCAGTTGTATAACACATAATAACTTGACTTCTAGTTAATCATTTGGAAAAATGGCAGAAAGTAGATTTTTCTGATGAATCATCCAATCATCACAAATACTGCAGAAGACCTACTGGAACCCACATGGACCCAAGATTATCATAGAAATCAGTCAAGTTTGGTGTAAGAAAAATCATGGTTTGGGGTTACATTCAGTATGGGGGCATGCAAGAGATCTGCAGAGTGGATGGCAACATCAACAGCTTGAGGTATCAAGACATTTTAGCTGCCCATTACATTACAAACGACAGGAGAGGGCAAATTCTTCAGCAGGATAGCGCTCCTTCTCATACTTCAGCCTCCACATTAAAATTCCTGATCAAAGAAGGTCAAGGTGCTCCAGAATTGGCCAGCCCAGTCACCAGTTATGAACATTATTGAGCATGTCTGGGGTAAGATGAAGGAGGAGGCTTTGAAGATGAATCCAAAGAATCTTGATGAACTCTGGGAGTCCTGGAAGAACGCTTTCTTTGCCATTCCAGATGACTTTATTAATAAGTTATTTGAGTCATTGCAGAGATGTGTTGATGCAGTCCTCTAAGCTCATGGAAGTCATTCACAAAATTAATTAATTTTCCACTGCGCAATTACTTTATATTCTATACTGAACATTATTTCTGTTAAGTGACAAGACTTTTGTCTAAGCAAAGTCAGACCTTACTGTCCTAATTAAATAATTAAAAATCAAGGCATGATCATATTTTTCTTTTGGTAACAAGCGTAATCTAGAGACCTTTGCCTTTCATATAAGCCACTTCTGATACCAAATAATCAACTAGAAGTCAAGTTATAATTTGTTGTTCCTAAAAGTTGGATAGGCAACAAGACTTTTGTCAGGTAGTGTGTAGTATATCCAAACTCATAGAATTCGAGGCGAGAAGTAGGTAGGAAGTACTCAGATGACGTACTGCCTCCAGCGAGATTCTGTTGAAAATTGTTGACCAAAAAATAAATAAATAAAATTGGCCACTGATAGCTGAATACTAGTATCTTTAAAATAACTAGTAAAATATTATGTACTGCCATCTTGGCAAAGACTTAAGAATTAGTTCTTAGAAATTAGTTAAATTATAAATTATGATTGCAGTAATGCATTTTAATTTAATTGCGTATTATGCTTTAAAACGAGTTAAAAAATGTGTTTAAGAGCACTTGGGAAATTAAAAAATTTAAAATAAATACAAATCTATAACTGTAGATTTAATTAAGTAAAACAGACAGTGCTCACTTTTAAGGATTCGTATTGTAATTATTCACAGCAAAAAAAAATGCTGTTTCAAAACTTGTTAATTGACAAAACTAACTACATACAAGGTAAAATAAAAGAAAAAGCTTGACCTTTTGACATTCTTTCTCTGTCCAGCTTTGCTCAGGCATTTCTTCAGAGATTTTCTGCACAAGTGGAGAATTCTCTGTGTTAAGGTTAAGTTCTTGGTCTGGAGGCTGAACATCCTGAACCTGTAATATAAGATAATAAGAAATCCATGAAGCCTAGATTAAAAGATATGAAATATAGCACAAAACACTTGTGTTTTTCTGAACAGTGTTAGCCAGGTAATATAAAAAAGATGTCATGCATGAGTGTGAATGTCTTACTTTAAAGTAATGAGTTGTCGTCTTACTTTAAAGTAAGACGACAATGGAAAACACATAATGACTGATATCGTTTAGCAAGAGGTCAGTTAACTGATTTTAGATCGTCTTAAATTGAATGACCCTGACATTAAATGACCCTGCAGGTTATTTGCTCAAAAACAAAACATGATACCAAGGGATGCTAATAATAATCCATGTACATTTTGAGACGTCCTGTGAATTTAAAATTCTTTTACCCAACAGTTAAACAATTTTTAACAGCATTTGCCTGTGAATGAGCCTACTTAAACCTTTATATTACACTTTAAGCCTTAAGTCTCAAACTCAATTCCTGGAGGGCCGCAGCTCTGCACAGTTTTGCTCCAACCCTGATCAAACACAGCTAATCCAACTAATCTATAGCTGCGTCCCAAATGGCACACTATACACTCATGCACTATGTACTTATGCACTTACAGGATAGTATATGTATGTAGTGTCATCCCAAATGGCACTCTAATGGTTTTCTATTAAGCGGAAATTCAAACCGTTTCCCTAATGATGTTTGACGGTTGCCAAATCAGTGAAATAAACGACAGAATTATCAAATAATACCTGCCGTGATTATAACCGCATTCACTATTGGGAGGCGCTATAATCACTCTCGTTGGAGAATTTTGCTTTCACCATCCAAAATAAATAAAGTTATCCAACATGTGCGCCCGATAGCTCCGCTCCTTCCGCTACGTAGGCAAACCTGTGGCTGTAGAGTGCATGAAGTGTCCATCATTCCACACTTCATCTTACTGGCTGAATGAGTGCATCATCTGGGTAATTAAAGTGCACTTATTATTTTTAGAGTTTACAATGTGAACACACTACTTAAACTATTTATACTACAAAATGGCGTAGAATAGTGCATAAGTATACGATTTGGGACGCAGCTAAGGTGTTTATGACTCTTTTGAACACCTCGATTATTCAGATCAGCTGTGTTTGATCGGGTTGGAGCAAAACTGTGCAGAGTTGCGGCCCACTGGGAATTGAGTTTGAGACCTATACTTATGCTGAATACCTGTGTCTTGCATAATAACTAGTAAAATATGGCAGACAAAATAATTGGTTATTAAATCAGTTTAATTATTTTCAATTAAACTGTGTTTAATTCAATTATGTTAAAAATTCTTGGTTTAACAGCACTTGGGAAATATTAAAAAAACAATTCTGTAACTGTTGATTAGTTTAAAAAGCAGAACAGATAGTGGTGGCTTTTATGGACTTTTATTTTAGTTCTATGGACATTTAAGGCAAAAATAAATGTATTTTCAAAACATTTAAAGCAAAACTGACTGTATACAAAGTGAAATTAAAGATAAAGCTTGACCTTTTGACACTCTTTCTCTGTCCAGCATTGCTCAGGCATTTCTTCAGGGATTTTCTGCACAAGTGCAGAATTCTCTGTGTTAAGGTTAAGTTCTTGGTCTGGAGGCTGAACATCCTGAACCTGTGATATAAAATATTAAGAAATCCATGAAGCCTAGAGCAAATAACAATTAATATAGCACAAACACTTTTATTTTTTATTATTAGCCAGATGATTTAAATGTCATGCATGAGATGTCCTTTAGAAATTCTTCTTAATTCAAAGCTGATGATGCTTTTTGATAGTCATCATTATCAAACACTGCTTCTAGATTTCCTGCAGCATGACACTGAAATCCTTTTTTACAGTAAGATTGACGACAATGGAGAAAAAGATTATGACTGATAACGTTAAGCAAGAGGTCAGTTAACTGATTTTAGAAGAACCACTAAGTATATGTAGGCCTGCCATTGTACTTATATTTTGTTGTACGATAAATTGCACCAAAATATATTGAGATGAACGATATTACTGTCATTTTAAGACCATTTTATGCCACTCATCATTATATAATGCCAGAATGACAATATAATATTATCATAATACAAATACACTCTTTCAAAGAACACATAATACTTTATTCTTAAGAATATTTATTTAGTTATAGTCATTTTTACTATTTAATAATCAGGCATTGGAATCAGAATGAGAAAACACATATCCTAAATAAGTAATAAATGTTAATAAAAAGCGCAAGGTATTAAGTTACAGAATATACTAAAATATACTAAAGTAATTGATTGTATATACCAGGGGTCACCAATCTCGGTCCTGGAGGGCCGGTGTCCCTGCAGGGTTTAGCTCCAACTTGCTTCAACACACCTGCCTGGATGATTCAAGTATACCAAGTAAGAGCCTGATTAGCTTGTTCAGGTGTGTTTGATTAGGGCTGGAGCTAAAATCTGCAGGACACCGGCCCTCCAGGAACAAGTTTGGTGACCACTGGTATATACTATATTTTTTTACCATACTGACACTAACACCTCCAAGATAGAGATATTGCACACTCAGCTAAAATGTTGTTAGAATCGTTTTTTTTTTTTTGTTTTTTTTTTTGAAAGGGGATATACATGTTTGTGTTGTGCGATTAAGTTGATATATTGATAATTGTCATGTGTGTGCAATGCTTATAAATACATGCACACACATAAACACATACAGTTGGATTCAGAATTAATAGCCCCCCTGAATTATTAGACCCCTGATTATTCTTTTCCCCAATTTCTGTTGAATGGAGAGAAGATTTTTTCAACACATTTCTAAACTTAATAGTTTTAGTAACACATTTCTAATAACCGATTTATTTTATCTTTGCCATGATAACAGCAAATAATATTTGACTAGATATTTTTCAAGGCACTTCTACACAGCTTAGAGTGACATTTAAAGGCTTAACTAGGTTAATTAGGTTAACTAGGCAGGTTAGGGTAATTAGGCAAGTTATTGTATAATGATGGTTTGTTCTGTAGACTATCGAAAAAATATATAGCTTAAAGGGGCTAATAATTGTGTCCTTAAAATGTTTTTAAAAAATTAAAAACTGCTTTTATTCTAGCTGAAATAAAACAAATAAAACTTATTATAAGACATAATGTGAAAATTTCCTTGTTCTGTTACACATCATTTGGGAAAAAGTAAATAAATAAATAAATCAAAGAGGGGTTAATATTTCTGACTTCAACTGTTTATGTATGTAAATGTAACAAAACAAAACAAAAATTATATATATATATATATATATATATATATATATATATATATATATATATATAGTGTTTCTACTATCTGGCTGTATGGGAGTAAAGGTTGTCTGGTGCTGTTTTGACTCCTGTGCACATTTTATAAGCTCTTCATAAGTTTTTTTTTTCCAGGTAAAAAAAAACACAATTTTTGGATGTCTGGTAAATTTAGTCGCATAATACAGGCCATAAAATAATTTCAAAATGCACTGCTATTCTTTCTTGAATTGATTCTGAGCTTGGTTTTGAACAGCAGATGGCGCTGCATGCATTAAGAACAGCCATACACTACTTGCATCCGATTCCTTACAAATACCACTTGAACCTATACTATTCGTTAATAATGTTAGAAAAGATTTACGTGAATTAAGAGTGTTCAAAGTGAGCTGTGTTTACATTAATCTCCTAACACAAAAGCCAATTTCCATGACAGCTGAATGCTCAAGTGCTCTTCCTCATGATGAGCATTCAAGTGTATGGTTAAAAACTAGCCTAGAGCTCCATCTGCTGTTTAAAACTAAACTCAGAATCAATTTAGGAGAATAGTAAAGCATTTAAAAAGTCTCAAAAATAATGCATAACCAATTTTTTTCAGTCATTTAATACAATTATTTTCCCTCATGTTGTTTTAAATGTTTCTTTCTTCTGTTGAACACAAAAGAAGGTATTTTGACTTTCTTTTATGTTCGACAGAAGAAACTTAAATAGCTTTTTAATTAGGTAAAGAGTGAGTAAATGGTGGAAGAATTATTATTTTTGTGCAAACAATTTCTTTAAAAAGCCAAATTAACACCGTCCAGCTTGCTTTAGGATATAAGGATAAAAACACTGAGGTAAAGCTGGTTTTACTTTCAAACATTCAGACGTTCTCTTTAATATAATTTGAAAAAAAGTATTCCAAAAAAGTATTCTAAGTAGGGAATTCCTATTAGCAGTCGATGTCTATCAAAGAACAACATTGTTCACAGTCAAATAAATAGTGCTAATGTTGCATTGAAGTCATTCTTACATAAGATTTCAGAGCGAATATTCAAAGTAGCATAGTAAACAATATAGGCACTGTGTCACAAGTTGTCACTAAACGAATGTCCGAATATAAAACTAAATTTACCTCAATCCTGAAAACTGAAAGCATAAAAAGCAGGAACATATCATACCTGATTCTGCTGTGGTGTGTCTGAAGTCTCTCTCAATGCTTGAGCCTGACAGCTATCTGTGTTGTTTATCTGCTGATGTTGACCTGGTGAAGCAGAACCCACACCTTCCGTTGCTGCTGGACAGTTTTGCAGTCTAACTCTCCTACAGCGTGTCTTCCTGACCGAAAGGAAGATCTGACCATTGCACACAATGATGGCATTGCGGTGAACAGAGTTTCTGATGCTGGCCAGAGAAGTCACTTCAGTCTCCTCCTGCCCCGAGAACTGGACTTCAGGTTTATTTGTCTTCAAATCTGTCCTCAAGACCTTATAGGCAGTGATGCTGGAGCTCAAAACCGGCAGTAGAAACTGCCCTGGGGTTATTTGGGTGAGCCTCAGTCTGCTGCTCTCCTTGCCCAGAGACACTTGCTTCTGCCGCAGCTCGACCGGGCAGATCCAGGTCACTGTCTGCTTCTGAGATTCACGCAGAAACAGAGCCACGCTGATCTTCCTGGATAAAGAGCTGGACAGAGACTGCAAAGGGATGTTTTTGACACACGCTTCCTTAGGAATATAAACAACAGTGTTCTCCATGCTGAAGAGTTTACACCTGCAGGGTTTGAATAAACATATTGTAATCATTCATGGAGTTTTATATTTGTATTTTTAGCCATCTAAATAGCAAACTAAAATACAAAAAATAAACATTTCAGTTTAATATAACAGAAAGAAACTGAGCTAACTGTGCCAACTTACTGACATCATAATAATAGATTCATTTTCGTTTATAATAGTTTCGTTTTTCACTAAACTGTAAACAAAATGAGTGTAAACAGTTTAAACATTATTCTTACATTGACATAGTAACTAATGTACGCTTTACTCAGCGTTAACGGCAGTGAATAAGCTATTTGTCGGAAGCTGCGATTAACAAAGTGCATTTTATAGACTTATCGTAGCATAATAAAGCAATGTTGAATATGATATAAAATAAAGGTCGTCATGTACCTAAAACTGGTCACTTGTATCGCAGTATAACTGGCACATTCTGTCTCCACACCAAAGATCGTGCATTTATTTCACTGTGTTTGTTTGTTTTAAAACAAAATAAACATGATTGTTTTGAATATCTGCAGGTTCAGCGCAGAACTCCCGGACTTCCGGAGAATGCGTCCGGTGTTTTGTGTCAAAATAAAAGTCATCGCTGTGTCAAGCTGACAAAACGCAAATCAGTTTGAAATAGTCGGTCGAAATGGGTTATGTGTGCACAGCTACAGTTTTTCAGATGATGATCGTCCCCTAAACATTTCAAAGTTCATCAATTTCATAGGGTTTCTTTTACAGCATCGGTGTTGTAAAACATCCAGTTAAATATACTGAAGCATTCATTTGGTTGTTAAAGCCATGTTAAAGCTAATTTAATGCAGTGCTTCTTGTTTGGTCTGATACCCACTTTATATCGTTTCTCAGCCAGGTAGTGAGGATCACAAATTTTTTTTTTTAAAGAAATCAGATCTTAAATGCAGCAATTGTGTATTGGGCTAAATCAGGTGTGGGCAAACTTGATCCTGGTGGGCCGGTGTCCTGCATAGTTTAGCTGTTTGACTAGTGTTGGAACAAAACTCGGCAGGGACACCGGCCCTCGAGGATCAAGTTTGCCCATCCCTGGGCTAAATGCACAGCTAGTGTTTTTCAGCCAATGACAAACTTCCGGTGAAAGCTTTATGTGACCATTTTCAATTTCAGAAGATTCCTTATACAGCATTGATGATGTAGTGTAAATTTAATATATTCAGTTAAATAGATTTAAGCATCCATTTAGTTGTTAAAGCATAAAAAGATACGAAAGACAGCTTAAGCCTAGGCGTCATCATTAGCAGCAGGCTAGCGCAGAAACTCTATTGAAAATACTGTGGTAAAATTGATTTCCATATTTTAAAGACATGGCGTGGAAAATACCATTTAATGCAGTGCTTTTTGTTTGGTCTGATGCACACTTTATATTATATCACATCCAGGCAGTGAAGATTGCTGTTTTTTTTAAAGAATTCAGATCTTAAACACTGTGATTTTGTATGGAATGACAAATCACTGAAAGCCCTGGGGGCTGGGTAAAGTCTAGATCGGATATGCGGCCGGCGGAAGTGTGATATGCACATTAGGATAGCAGCATTTTTTTATGACGTTGTATAACAATAATTAATAATTTTTACATTGCTGTGACGGTTGGGTTTAGGTTTAGGATGGGGGTAGGTGTTAAAAAATAAAGTTTATTGGGTAATTTAATAGATAACATAAATAATACTCTGTACATCTACTGTTTTTACGTTACTGGGATGGTTGGGTTTAGGGTTGGGGTGGGGGTAGACGTTAATAAAATACAATAAATGGGAAATTTAATAAATAATATAAATAATTCTTGTTAACTTCCGGCCGCAAACGTATCTGATCTAGCAGCAACCCTGCGGCTGGCTGACTGAATATAAAAGTCTGTGTGCATATAGCCCACTAGTACAAGGGACAACAACGTTGTTTTTAATAATGTGAGCGATAGGTTATGTCGCCTGATCCATTAGCTGAAATATCATTGGAACCGATAACTTAAAATAATCAACATTACGACAAACAAGCAATAAAACAAGTTTAGTCAGTTGTTTGTGGCTAAATATTACAAACAATTATTGCTGCTTGGTAATTTATGCGTGCTTAATATCACAAACATCATTGTTTTTAATGTGTCTAATCATTATAATTAACCTTGTGTGACACGGTGGCTCAGTGGTTAGAAATTTTGCCTTACAGCTGGAAGGGCATCTGCTGTGTAAAACATATGCTAGGTAAATTGATGGTTCATTCCACTGTGGCAACCACTGATTAAAAAAGTTACTAAGCTGAAGGAAAATGAATGGATTCCATTTGTGCAAGTTAAATGATTGCACGCTATCTTTAGTGTATGTTACTAGTTAAGTGCTCTGGATTGCTGAAGTTGCAGGAGCTTTACATTAAAATCTAATTCTGACAACAGGTTTGTGGAAAATGGCGCATTTGTACAATTATTTTGTATTATAGCCTAAGTATTTTCTTCCTGAAGGGGTCTCTATATGTGTCTGTGTATGGGTTTTTTCCAGTACTGGGTTGCAGCTGGAAGGGCATCCGCTGTGTAAAACGTTTACTGGATAATTTGGCAGTTCATTCATTCCACTGTGGCGACCCCTGGTGAAGGGACTAAGCTGAAGGAAAATGAATGAGTGAATTCCAAATGTGGTGTGACGGATAAGGGACTAAAAAAAAAAATCTTTGCTTCTGTCTCATCCTTTTTACAGCTATTACAATTTTTGGGCAGATTCCTATTAAAAGGTGGTAAATAATATTGACAGTTTTTATTTCTCAGAAAGCTTAAATATTTTCTATTTCACTTGTGAGGTTTGTTATACTATCTGATATTAGACCAATCTTTTTTATCCTTGGTTAGCTTTCTGTTCTGCTTCACTGCAGAGACATGTAATACAATATATAACAATGCTTGATCTATGGATCATTTCGATGTGGTGATGTCATTGGCCAATGAACATGTCCTGCTTGTCATCAAACTATTTCAGAACTGTAACAAGAGGCAATTCACTCATGACTAGGCCCACACGGAATCTGCGCGCGCAGAATTCCGCAGATTTTCCTCAGATTTCTAGCCTATTATTAATTCTGTTTATTTACTTGAGTAAATGTGTAAATCTGAATTTATTTCGTTTTTATTCAGTAATTTATTACTTTATATTTAATATATTAAGGTTTGAGTTATAATACTCTGCTAGATACTCCCAAAATAATTCCGCAGATTTTTACCAAAATCCTCTGCAGAAATAGCAAAAAACGTTCACAGATTCTGTCTGGCCCTGATCATAACCAAATGTCAAAACAGCAATCATAACATCATTTATCAACATGTGGCTCTTTTTGAATTCTCAGAAGCTCTAGAAATCAAAATTGTGAAACGGGAAATATCCTGGGACCATTATTGTTTTCTTTTGTTTTTACATCCCTCAACACGGTCTATAGACTACAGATCATCACCTTTGCATTATTAAGAAATCATCTTTCTTCCTGAATAGTGCAATATGAGGTGTTTTCAAAAAAGGGTGAACTCAACGTTCTTGCACCTTCACCCATGATTTCCAGCAAGCATTATAAGAGTTTCCTCCAATGGTTAGATTTATTTTATTTATGCTGCTGATATATGCTCTGTAATTTCATTTTCTTCTTTAAATTGGACATACACATCACACTCTAACACAGAAAACAGAGAGAGGGGCACGTGTGGAACCAATGAGAACATAGACACGGAATTTAACAACAGCAAACAAACAAACAAACAAATACACATACATACAGACTTGCGTCATACATACAAACATACTTAGTTATATAAAGCTAAACGATGAATAACTGGAGTATAGTAACTGTAGTATTAATCTTTGTAGTTTTCGCAGAAATAGAACCACTATAATAATTGGAACAATAATGTTATTAAAGGGATAGTTCACACAAATGCGGAAAATTGTGCCATGATTGACTCAACCCTCATATTCAAACCCTTATTGACTATTTGTTGAATACAAAAGGTAATAGTTTGAAGAAAGCTGGAAACCTGTAACCATTGACTTCAATAGTATTTGTTTTTCTAACTACAGAAGTCAATGGTTACAGGTTTTCAGCATTCTTCAAAATATCTTCTTTAGTGTTTAACAGAAGAAAGAAACCAATAAGGTTTGGAATCAAGTAAACCAATCAAGGCCAAGTAAACAGTGAGTACATTTTCATATTTTGGCTGAACTATCCCTTTAATTAAAAGGCGAAAGGAGTTATCCCCAAATAAACATATGTTCTTCTCTTTCTTTTTTTTTTCATTTGTACACTTTCGCTAGGCTCAGTCTTTAAAATCTTTAGTCAAGAGTCCACGCTTTAAGATACACGAAGATCCACCTCGTCGTTTTTGGGTGTCGTCTGTTCAAGTGCAACATACTGTATGAGAACAAAATTGGTCACTTTCATGCTGGATTGTCTTTGGGTCACACAAGATACTGTAAAGAACCACTGAAACATTTTGAAGCAGTGAATCTGTGATAGGAACAAAGAGTAGGTACAGAAACATCCTAAGCGCTTATTCTGTCCGTCTGGCAGGCAGGCAGTCTGACTTTGCTTCAGAGGCAGGTCTCCAGGCTGTGCAGGGGGCTGGCAGGAGTGTGTGGCGCCCCGCTGCCGTTCGTGCCCAGGTGGACTCTGCTTTCGACGGCGGCGTTGTTGTTGCAGTTGAGGGTGACCGGCAGACTCTGCTGCCTTAGTGGACGGGATGGATAGCGGGATCGAGGGGGCCTCTGGGGCGCCTGGGGTTGAGAGTGAGGGTGTCGGAGAGCCACGCGCACGTGGTTATGATTGGAGCGCTCAGATTCGTCGTCCACATCCGTCTCGTCGATCAGGGGGATGTTGTGGACCGAGTCCGTGATGATGAACTCCGGGTGCGCCTGGAAGTCGTGAATGGAGTTGCGCGACTCGGGCCGCTCGATGCCGTCGTACAGGGAGCTACGGAAAGCTTTCACCACCCGGATCTATACATCAGGGGTGCAGGGTAGGAGATGTCAAAGGGGGAAGAAAGATGGAGGGATCAAAAGGGACAGAGAGGTGGAGAGAAGTTTAGTCCCCCTTTTGCACTAGTTTTGGCACACTTTCAGCTAGCTGACCTGCGAGAGCTGAAAGCTTCACATCCATTAAGGCCTTGGGTGCAGGAGGCCTTTGAAAAACAAATACAAACAAAACTCCACAGCCATTCTATAGGCCTCTATAGAATGACGCCCCAAAAATAATCCAAATCCAAGTTGTAATTACAATGAAAAGGTAACACAAGACGGCAAACACAAGTCTTTCCAATAACAGTGGTCTGTCAAAGCAGCCTTAGCCCCCTGTCTGCTTTTGATTTAATTGCATATTTGTGATAGCGGCGTTTGGTTTTCTTCTTTAATGAACATAAAGGCGTCAATTTAGTAAGCAAAAAAAAAAAGACAAATAAATAAAATAGTGTATGCTCGCAACGGAATTACAACTTTCACTGTTGCCAGTTCAATACCAAGTGATTTAAAAGTCATGGAAAACACTCTAAGAAAAACTCAACAGACAAACACATGCAAACAAATGACAGTAAACACCAGAAAAAAATGAGTGAAGGCACACTCCACCATGTGGTACGAACACATACACACAGTGTACACAGTACACACACAGAAAACAAAACAAAAGTGAGGTTGACAGAACACGGCTGTGCACAGAATGCACAAACACGAAAACACACAGGAAATTAAGACATGCGGATTCACATACTGTTGCTGTCGACAAAGTCTGTAATACAGATTCAACTTGAAAAAAAGTCTTGAAAGAACAGATTGCATTAGTGACTGCAAGCAGTATTTATTGTTCTGACATCAGTTTTCTATGTTACATTTATAGGGTTCTGTATCTCGGTAAGCTTTGTATTAAATCAATGAAAAAAAGAAAGCAAAGTGTCTTGGATTATATTAGCTCACTCTAATATGAGGACATTTAGAAGATCATGACTGCCTCTTTTTGGAGATAATGAAAAACTAAAACTCTCTATGCCCTCAAAAGGATATGCACACATTAAATGGGACTTTTCTCCCATGCAACCATGCACAAAAATTCAAGTTTCCTCTTCCCGTTCATGCATGGCATGCAAGTACACATTCAGTAGAAATAACTCTGTATAAACATCGATCAAATCGGTCCATATTCCTTTTTTTTCTGACATCCTCGTTCTCATCACGTGTGATTCTACAGCAGCCAGGGTGAAATGCATCTTCTTGAAAAGAAACCGTTCGTGTGTGTGACCATGCATGTCCACATTCATCTGTGCCTTTCTTTTTTCGTCCCCCGTTCTCCACATACTGCATGCATAGCCAAACCACGCTCAGGAATGACCACAAAGCAATGTGACTGACAGAGGGAAAGACTACACAACATGGACACAACAGCGCTCCTGCGGCTTTGTTTTTCCAAAGAGCCATTCGTTTAGTGGTTCCTGCTTAATTTAAAAGCCGTTTTCTTAGCTATACACAGCACTGACATTGTAAACTTTCGAGTATAAGGCCCAGAATTCACGATGGGGATGATATTGAACAGGAAAAAAAACCCCGTTATGAATTAACTCCAGTGAAGAAATCAGAAAGTCTTTCGAGATTCAGGCACTGGATGGAAAAACAGAAAAGGGATTGTGTTTGAATAGCTCCAAACACATCACATCGGGACTCCTCAAGACAGACGGCAGGAGAAGGCAGGTGAAAGACAGACGTTTGATGGATGGATGGAGGTCTAAATCTACAGCACACTTTCTTTTGTTGAGGCATGACGGCCTAACAAAAGCTTTTGAGAAGCAGCCCTCTTGTGCAGCATCAGCAACTTTGTTTCTTTTTTATTTTGGTAAAACTATTACTATAAAAATATAGTTATTTAATGCAGTCATTTAACTGGATCTTCCTATCTCTGTCGGATTTAAGCTAGCATAGCACAAAATGCTATACGACGATGAAACGAAGACAAACGTGAAAAGAAAAACTGGACAAAACTGACAGGACAAGACGAGACAAAAACCCATTGGATTAAAAAAAGGGACAAAATATAAAGCCGTACTTTCGTCGAATGTTCGTAAATAAAAGGAACTGAAGATTAACACTGAAGGGGAAGTGATGATGAAACTGAGGGGGTTCCAGCTGGGCTAATGCTCGGTGGTCTCTTTGAAGGGATTTGGAAATGCTAAGACGCAGCTGCTTTCTTTCGACCACAGAAAAGATCGCTTCTGGAACCTGGAGGGCAACGTTGACGTTATATTTGGTGCATTAAACCCTCATAAACAAATCTCTTGACTTTCAAGAAGACCAAAGCTACAGACAGTAAATCATAGCAGCAGATTTCTAATGTATAGAAACTCAAGCAGAAACAATTAGCAGGACATTTCAGTAAAACCTGTGAAGAGAAAGAGGAGAGTCTGAACAAGGTGCACAAAAACAGTTCAAGCAAACACACAAGTATGCTTTATGTTTTCCTGAACGGGATAGAAAAACGTTAGCACTATCAATGCTAATATATCCCTACTATGAAAACCATTATGGGCTTATACTCGCAGGTTTACAACAGTCAACATTGGCTTCGGTTGTTCCCATGTTGTCAGCTTTTGATTTAGATGAAACAATTTCCCAATTGTTATTTGGCTCTTTCGAGAGAAATTCTGGTAGCCCTTTATGGCAACATTGATTTGAGGATGAATTACTGGCAAATCAAGCAACAGTGGAGGGAGGGGGGGGGATTTAAACAAACAAACAAAAAAAGGCAAGAAGAAAAAGAAAATTCCATCTTGGCAGCACTAACCAAGAATAAACAGCGAGAGCAAGAAATAAGTTATGAGGTAGCAAGGAAGGAAGAAAGAAAGATAGAAAGGCCACAAATAAATAAGCAAAACAAACTGAAAATGCACATGTAGAGAGATGAGGCAGATGCTTCCGTTAAAATCTGCTCTCTCTCACACACACACACACACACACTCAACATTCAGCAGACGAGTTGCGTTTGAAGGCAGGCAACAATGCATGTGTGTGTTGGTGTATATGCTAGGCATCTGAGTGCACGGGCTCTACGAGGTGCCGTTAACGGAATGTAAGGACTCACTCCCGGGGGCACCAGTTGCATTGGCAGTGGAGAGAACTACGTGAGAGGGAGTAGAATTATTGGTTACGTCATGGAGTTGGCTGAGCACTGAAGAGCGGCGTCTCACTGCACCCTGAAACGAACCACTTCTCTTGAAGGTACTCACTACCTCCATCTGCAGGAGAGAGAGAGAAGGACATCACACAGACAGGCGAATGAGCTTTATGAAATGAACGGGATTTGACTTTAATCACTCGAAACAGGGGGGTTTGGGGAGGAACGGCTTGCAGGAAAAGTAGCATTTTATTTTAGCCCGCCAATACACACGCCAAACCATCCTATGCCTTAAGGTGTTTCTTCAAATATGAGCACTTTGGGTTTGGATAGTTTTTATATATATATATATATATATATATATATATATATATATATATATATATATATATATATATATATATATATATATATATATAAAACTCAAATGTATCCTGGAATGACATTTTAAAGTTGAATTCCTGTTCTGAAAAGTGAAACAACGTTAAAATATAAAAATACCTTTAATATAATTTAAATATTACACGATTGTATTTATTTTTATTCTAAATACATCTGACATTTTTAAAACTCGCCAATGCGCACACCAAACCATCCAATGTCTAAGGGTGTTTCTTCAACTATGAGCACTTCAATACATTTATATTATCTTATGTAATATTATATTATATTATATTATATTATATTATATTATAAATCTACATTTTTATCCTAATCTTTTCAAAAACTTAAATGTATATAAACACAGTGGGGGAAATAAGTATTCAACAAGTCATCATTTTTCACCAGAGCGGCCTCTGTCAGGTGCTGACTCATATGGAGAATGAGGTCACATGCATTGCTCAGGAGTGAGTTTTTCAGTGTAAAGATCTTGTTGGTTCTCTGGGTTTTGTCTATTCAGGCTGGTCTTTATTTTGTATCTTTTATTGGATTAAAGTCAGATGATTGTCTGGTCATTCCACAGCCTGATTTTCTTTCTCTGAAAGATTTTGAGAGAATAGTCATTTCCTCCAGTGTTGTGTGTGTGTGTGTGTGTGTGTGTGTGTGTGTGTGTGTGCATGTGTGTGTATTTATATATTTTTTTTGTAATAAAACTCAATGCCTTTTAAAATGTATAAGTACTTTTAAATTTATTTATATTTGAAATGTATAAATTTTAAAAACGCCAATGTGTACCACAAACTATCTTTTGTCTAACTATGAGCACTTTAGTTTTTAATAAAAGTAATTTAAAATGTTTTATTATAAAACTCAAATGCCTTTTAAATTTTTTTAAGTTAGTTGTAACTGAAACCAAAACGATGTTAAAATATAAAAATGCCCTTGATTTTACATTGATTTATATTACAAATAAATCTGACATTTTTCTTTTTTTAATGAATTTTCAAATTTTGTCTTTAATAAATCTATTCAAAAGAGTAAAATAAACATTTTTAAAAATGTGTTTAACACACATTTTTAATTGATTGTCATTTTACAAGTGGCATCATTTTAATCAAAATTAACAATTATGTTAATATTATATATAATATGTTATTTTTTGCTCTGAATATGATTGAAATATAGCAATATCAAATTTATTTATATTAGAAATAAATCTACATTTTTAAAGTTATCTTTTCATAACGGTAAAATAATCATATTTTTAAAATGTGTTTAATAAACATGTTTAATGGATAGTCCCTTAAGTAAAGGACAAGTCTTTTAAAATCACAATTTACAGACATCAGCACCAGTGAAAAGAATGCTCAAAATGAGAAACCTTATGAACTAAATAATCAGAAAAATTAAGCATTCTGTAAAATAATGTTATAAAGTGTAAAAAAAAAATTTCTAGCCATGCAAGAAACAAGAGTCTCAGAACAAAACGAGACTATGCAAAACAAATGAATGAGTAAAAATGAATGTTATCGAAAACAACAGGTAGTGTATTGAGATATGGCAGGAACTACATTAGTCAATTTAGAAAGCAAGTGCAAAAGTGTCTATACTTGAAGAAACACTGCTTACATAAACCATGACAATAAAGATTCAGAAAGGCCAATAATAGTTACCAAGCGGCAGAAGAGCAAAAAGTACTGAATAAAACAGCATGGACAAGCAGCAGAGAGAATAAAGGATGAAGTGAGGGAAAGAGAAAAGTTAAGATTTACAACATAGAAAGCTTGTTAAATAATAACATTTCATCAATTTCTAAAGGCTGGTGAAGAAAGGAAAATATATTTGAGTTATGAGGAAAGTAAAAGTTCAGAAAAAAGGGTGCAAACTAGAGCATGTGGCAGAGAAGGCATCTGGTATATATTAAGGCAGTGCGTGTGTACGCGGGAACAGCGGTCTCTGTCAGAAAACAACACAAAAGCTGAGTTAAAACACGGAGGAAATGATGGAGAGCGAACATCACCTGAGTCTGAATGCGGTTGAGTCCTCTAAACCACAGGATCTGTCCTCGTCTCAGCTCTCTCTCAGCATAATCAATCTCCTCCTCGTCCTCGGCCAGATCTTCATCCAGCATCTCGTCTGGAGCCGGCCCGTGGCCCGCTTCTTTCAGACACTTCAGCTGATGCGTTGGCACTGAAGAAATCAACTGGAGGAAAAAAAGGTTGATATTTCTGACACTGCTTTCTGCTTCTGAGAGCAGCTTGAATGGAGGATTGAATGGAGCACTCACCTGACCCCAGAGCAGCTCTCCCATTCCCACAAACAGACACCAGAGCCACTGCTCCACGTTTAAGGGGGAACAGCTGAAGGGCTTCCCTCCAAACTGAACAATCACGATCTACAAATCACAGGACACAAGAGTGGAGCTATGGTTTATCTATGTGTGTGTGTGAGAGAGAGAGAGTGTAAATTTTTGGTGTTTTGAGTGTTTTACACTGCATTTTCAGCATTTTTACAAACCGTCTGTTTTGCTAAATAACTGCACAATCATAATTTATAATTACAAAATACAGGATTGGAGCTTAGTCTATATGTATTTATATTTACACAACAGTTCTGTCTGGTTCTTGAATCTGATTGTCTGATAACCGCGCCGTATTCTGCAAATAACAGCACCAGTACTGCCTCTTCACCCTTCACCCTTGTGTATTACTCCGCCCACATACAGCACAAGCAGATACACTCTACAGTTTGACAAATATTGCCGCTGCTGGACTACATAATGTACTTTTGAGGCTTTTTTTAGACAGTAAAAAGAGTGTAGTTGTTTAGATTGAAACTGTGTAGTTTATTTAAAAGGATTGTGTCTATTTTAAATATTCATAATTTCGGAGCATCGGATTCAGTGCATCGGCCGCCATCAGCTTGTCCAAGCTCACCTAAGAAAGTGAAAGTTGACGTTCCGCCACAAGGTGGCGACAGAGATCACATGAGTTCTTAGAAAGATAAAAATAGCATTTTCTCAGCATACATTTCAAACTACAGCTAAACAAATCATTATAAATCAGCTAAGTGACATTCTGAGTCAGTCTCTCTGTTTTGTATTTTGTAGTGCTGAATTTATACCACAGAAACTGGTAGTGTTTGCTTTGTTCTGGCTTTTTCAGGGATAATTATTGTGATCTGATTGCAACAGAGAAATACTCGGAAATCTCTCTAAATTAATGCCATTTCATGTTGTTCAGACTTATACTCTTGAAATGTGAACAAAATCACCTGTTTTCTCATCACTTTAGATATTACGCTTGAGAATCATTCAAACACTAGCTCTAAAGTGACGTTTGTGAACTGGCAACGGTTTCTGCTGTTCTGACGCTATGCTGCAGGTGTGAATTAATGGCGAAAAAAAGTAGATCCTCATACAAAAGGGTTTTTTAGGATTTGATTTTCTTTTTTAATGTACACGATTATGCCATCGGACTGTTGTATAAATGCAATATCACACTCATAGCAGTGCGGTATGGCTGTAAATCAGCACTGGTGAGACACTAAGGCACTCGGACTGCAGCCTTGAGCCAATGCACGCGTCCCACCAGTGCCGATATACAGCTACATGCTACACGTGTAATATTGCTCATATATATATATATATATATATATATATATATATATATATATATATATATATATATATATATATATATATATATATATATATTCAGCACGTTTTCCACAGCGGATGCCCTTTCAGCCGCAACCCATCTCTGGGAAACATCCAAACACACTCTCACACAAACACTACAGACAATTTTAGCCTACCCAATTCACCTGTACAGCATGTCTTTGGACTCTTGGTGAAACCCGAGCACCTGGAGGAAACCCACGAGAACGCAGGGAGAACATGCAAACTCCACACAGAAACGTCAACCTTCTTGCTGTGTGAGGCGACAGCACTACCTACTGTTCCACTGCGTCATCCTATATATAATTTATATATATATATATATATATATATATTAAGGCTGGGCAAATTAACACGTTATTATCGCATTAATGTATTAATTAATTACTTCCACCAACTATTTTATCGTGCGTTAAAGAGCTGTTTTTTAGTTTTTAATATTTGGAAACTCCGTTGTTTACTGGCTTTAAATACACATACTGGGCAGCCACAGGTCACAACATGGTGGATTATGATTGTTGGCTTGGGAAAGGCATCAATCCCATTTCTCAACAATGAGAGCATTTGGAGCAGGCCTATAACTGGTGCTCGTGCTCACACAACTGTCTGGTGTTTTAACTAGTGGTGACCCTTTTTCAGATATAAACTATTCATGTTTGCAGATTAGCAGATTTGTCAATAATTCACAGCTTCAAAACAAACCAAAAAAGTAAGTAAAAAGAAATGTTTTGTTAATTAAATACTTTTAAAAAGCAAGGACACATTTTTTAAAAGTGAGAGTAAAGACAAAATAAAAAAATATTTTAAATGTTCTATAAATCAAATCCTGAAATAATGTGTCAATGTTTTTACAACAGAGACTATTAAAAATATTATAGATCAGCATTTTGCAGGATTAAAGATTGAGGATAATCATGTCAGTAAAAACTGGAGTAATAATGCTGAATATTCACCTCTGCCTTAAATTACCTGACAAAAGCAACAGCTGTTTTTAATTGTAATTACATACAGTCAAGCTTGAAATTATTCATACATACATAGACCTGGGCTATAAATAATTTCGGGCTCGACTGTATATATTTTTATCATATTTCTGCATTTTGATCCAATAAATGCAACCTTGATGAGCTTAAGACACTTTAAATTACTGAGTTTAAATTAAGAGACATTAAATAAGCCAGAAATCAAACCCAGAAATCAAGCCTAAATCTTGAGATTTGTGCGTTTTTACCTGTATTGCAAATGTACCCAGCACGATCGAACAGAATATGGGGTTTGAGAATATCCCATCGAACACGTTCCTCTCTCCGTGAATCTTACGGGCATTGATCTCGTTGAAGAGTTGCATGAGGACAAACGTGTTAAAGATGATGGTGTAGTGCTCAGATGGAGGAGAGTGAAGCGGAGCATCACGGCCGCTGTCAATGTCAAAGATCCTCTCACCTGTGCAAAAAAATTACAGCTTCATCACATACCGGTACATTTAACAAGAATAAAAAGAGATGAAATAGAGCAGAACTTGTATCCAACAAATCCTTTGACAGAAGCAGTGAAGGAACATACCGGCGAAGAGCAAGGTAAAGATGATGACGAGCTGGTAGACGGCATGTCCAAGGATGTTCTTCATCATCGTTCTGGAGATGAGAGGGTTGTTTCGGCCATAAGGCTTCCTCAGGAGCAGAGCTTCCGTTGGCGGCTCCGTAGCAAGAGCAAGAGAAGCAAATGTGTCCATGATCAGATTGACCCAAAGCATCTGCACAGCTTTCAGGGGTGAATCCTATGCACAAATGCATAAAAAATTGAATGCCAGGTATCATTTAAAATCTTTAGGATGAGATTTTTTATTAAATTAAATGTAATTATTATATTAAAAAATATTTATTTAAAACTAAACATCTTTCAAAATGTTGTTTATTCCTGTGATGTAACATTTCATTTTCAGTTTTTTTTTCTGTGTTTTAGCTTAAACCTTGATTTATTATTATTTTTAATGAATTCATTTCTGACTGTTTAATCCCTTGGCATTTGTAACTAACGGCTCAGTGTACCTTTGGCAGATTCCTGGAACACAAGAGTAAATGTGTTTTAGTTTAACAAAATTTATCAAAAAAAAAAACTAAACGTGTACATGCTTAAGAACGGCACTTTATAGTCCAGTTCAAGTACTCAAATTAGGTACTAACTAAATATTAACCCCTGAACCTCCCCCTAAACCTAACCTTATCCAATGTTAGTTACTGTATATTAACAGTTATTTCCTAGGTAATTAGGCTGGCTTGTCAAAGCCAGACTACTGTTATCCTTTCTAAACTTATTATTATTATTCTTCTTCTGACTCTAAAAATCAAAATCTATCTCCTCCTTGAACTTTCGAACTATTACCACCAAACTCACACCAGACCTCCAAACTATTCTGACTCGGTATGCTATATCTCCTCAGACTGATTGGACTTTCGGTTTTCCGAAAAACGTCCCGGGACTGTCGGAAAAATCCCATAGACTTAACATTGGACCAAACTTTGTGACCTCGTAACTCTGCGTCAAACTGTCGCACAGAACTCTAACTGGGCTCATTTAACTCAGACTATCAAACTGCCAATGACTGATCACCTTTAAACTTTCTAGCCACGCCCTAGCAACCACTTTTGGACCCTAGAAACTGTCCCATAGACTTCCATTCAAAAGACTCTCATTGACTTAACATGGGATCAAACTTTGTGAGCTCATAACTCTGGATCAGACTGTCCTACAGACTAATGGCTGAGCTCATTTAACTACGACTACCAAACTGCCAATAACTGATGAGCTTTTAACTTTCTAGCCACACCCCTAACTACCACATACTGCACCCTAGCAACTGTCCCGTAGACTTCCATTACAAAAGACTCTCATTGACTTTACATGGGATCAAACTTTGTGAGCTCATAACTCTGCATCAGACTGTCATACAGACTAATGGCTGAGCTCATTTAACTCAGACTACCAAACTGCCAATAACTGATGAGCTTTTAACTTTCTAGCCACACCCCTAACTACCACATACTGCACCCTAGCAACTGTCCCGTAGACTTCCATTACAAAAGACTCTCATTGACTTTCCATGGGATCAAACTTTGTGAGCTCATAACTCTGCATCAGACTGTCATAGAGACTAATGGCTAAGCTCATTTAACTCAGTCTAGCCAGCAGCCAATCACTGATGGCCTTTTAACTTTCTAGCCACACCCCTAACTACCACATACTGCACCCTAGCAACTGTCCCATAGACTGTTATTAGCTGTGCTTTCAAATGCTTATAATTCTAACATGCTAATGACATGTCAATCATGCTAGCAACATGCTACTCATATGCTAATCATACTAATGACATGCTAACTCATACTGGAAACATGCTAATGACATGCTAATTTGTACAAGAATCATGCTAGTAACATGCTAATTCATACTAGACTCATGTTAATAACTGGCCTACATGCATATCTTTGCTTAGCAGTGTCCTATTGACTTGGGGGATGGCTCATCTGACTCAGACAACCAATGAGCATCTCAATATGATAATGAAGCTCACAAGCCACGCCCCCAAATTGATTCCATAGACTTCCATTAAAATAGGCCAAGATGCATATCTTTGCATAGCAGTGTCATAGAGACATGGGGGTTGGTTCATTTGACTTAGACAGCAAACCACAATCAAGTGCACTCTGTAACCTCGCCCATAGCAACAAAACAGAGTACCCTAGCAACCATTCATCAACAGCTATATCTCAGCATCAGAACATCGTAGAGACTTGGAGATTGGCTCGTTTGACTCATGCTAGCAAACGGAACTTCCTAAATGCTACACATGCTAGCAGTGATTAGCTACATGCTAATATTGACTAGCCAAGTACTGTAACTTGCTAGAAATGCTTACTAAGTATAAATGTTTTATCAGGCATGTATGTGAGGCTTGCCTAGTAACCAACCAGGGTACCCTAGCAACTGCCTAGCAACCATCCAAATTACCCTAGCAATCGCCTAGCAACCACCTAGCAACGGCCTAGTAATGCCTTAATAAGGGCCTAGTGACCACTCAGGACACCCTAGCAACCGCCTAGCAACGCCTTAGCAACCACTCAGAATACCTTAGCAACCACCTAGCAACACCTTAGCAACCACCAAGCAACCACTTGGGACACCTTAGCAACCGCCTAGCAACATCTTAGCAACCACCTAGCAACCAGTCAGAACACCCTAGCAACCGCCTAGCAACGCCTTAGCAACCACCAAGCAACCACTCAGGTCACCCTAGCAACCACCTAGCAACACCTTAGCAACCACCTAGCAACCACTCAGGACACCCTAGCAACCGCCTAGCAACGCCTTAGCAACCACTCAGAATACCCTAGCAACCACCTAGCAACACCTTAGCAACCGCTTAGCAACCACTTAGGACTCCTTAGCAACCACCTAGCAACACCTTAGCAACCACCTAGCAACCACTCAGAACACCCTAGCAACCACCTAGCAACACCTTAGCAACCACCTAGCAACCACTTAGAACACCCTAGCAACCGCCTAGCAACACCTTAGCAACCACTCAGAACACCCTAGCAACCACCTAGCAACATCTTAGCAACCACTCAGAACACCCTAGCAACCGCCTAGCAATGCCTTAGCAACCACTCAGAACACCATAGCAACCACCTAGCAACAGCCTAGCAACCGCCTAGCAACATCTTAGCAACCACCTAGCAACCACTCAGGACACCCTAGCAACTGCCTAGCAACGACTTAGCAACCACTCAGAATACCCTAGCAACCACCTAAGCATGCTATGTGACATGCTAATTCATACTAGAATCATGCTAGTAACATGCTAATTCATACTAGAATCATGCTAATAACATGCTAATCCATACTAGAATCATGCTAGTAACATGCTAATGCATGCCAGAATCATGCTAATAACATGCTAATTCACGCTAGAATCATGCTAGTAACATGCTAATTCATACTATAATCATGCTAATAACATGCTAATTCATGCTAGAATCATGCGAGTAACATGCTAATTCATGCTAGAATCATTCTAGTAACATGCTAATTCATACTAGAATCATGCTAAAATCATGCTAATAACCTGCTAATTCATACTAGAATCATGCTAGCAGTATGCTAATTCATACTAGAATCATGCTAGTGACATGCTAATTTATTCTAGAATCATGCTAGTAACATGCTAATTCATGCTAGAAGCATGCTAATAACATGCTAATTTATACTAGAATCATGCTAATAAAATGCTAATTTATACTACACTCATGCTAATAACATGCTAATCCATGCTAGAATCATGCTAATGCATGCTAGAATCATGCTAATAACATGCTACTTATCCTTTTTCAAACTTTGAAAAAACTTTTTCAAACATGCTAATTTATACTAAAATCATGCTAATAAAATGCTAATTTGTACTACACTCATGCTAATAACATGCTAATCCATGCTAATCCATGTTAGAAACATGCTAATGCATGCTAGAATCATGCTAATAACATGCTACTTATACTTTTTCAAACTTTGAAAAAACTTTTTCAAACATGCTAATTTATACTAGAATCATGCTAATAAAATGCTAATTTGTACTACACTCATGCTAATAACATGCTAATCCATGCTAATCCATGCTAGAAACATGCTAATGCATGCTAGAATCATGCTAATAACATGCTACTTATACTTTTTCAAACTGTTTTTAAACTAAACAAACTATTACCAACAGGCTTTGTCAAGCCAGCCTCAAAGTTTGTCTCGACGAACTTTACTGTCTAGTTACACTGTACTGTCCATGTAAGAGCACACAGTGTGGGAATTATACATTGATGATCGGGGGGGGGGGGGGGGTTCAACTTTTTCATTAATGTTAGTTTGTGTAATACATGCTTCAGTGAATCAAATGTATTTTTTTTAATTATATAAAAATATTGATAAATCAATGTGTTATAATGAATTATAATTGAATAAATGTATTTAAGTTTTCAGTGTTTTGTGGGATAGACTATTAAGTGTATTCTGACCCGATTAGCTATTTTGGCTTTCTTTAGGTCAAACTATATAAACTACGCATCTAATTTGACTTTACTTTCAGGCTGTATATAGAAACAAACTATTTTATTTTGAGTGCACATAGATTTAAGTGTATGTACCTGTGTGATGCAGGCGCCGGTGAAGGCTACTATAACAGCCACCACATTCACTGTGAGCTGGAACTGCAGAAACTTGGAGATGCTGTCATACACGTTTCGTCCCCACATCACAGCCTTCACTATGCTGGAGAAGTTATCATCGGTCAGGATGATGTCAGACGCCTCCTTGGCCACATCTGTACCAGCAATGCCCTGTGCAAACAGAGGAATCCATTACTATACTTCAGTATTCATAATCTGGTGTTTTAAAATTGCACCACATAGAAATAACATCTGTAGTTTCCTAGTTCCTTGTCTAATTTAACAGTTGATAAGGATTTTGGACTGACAAATAATTGACGTATGGTCTGGATCAGTGGTTCTCAACCATGTTCCTGAAGGACCATCAGCTCTGCACTTTCAGCCCTTTTAACATCCTTTTAATAAACTCCCCATGATTCTACCATCAGCTCACTAGCAAAGACTGCAAGACCTGAAATTGGTGGGGAAGAAAAAGGGCAGGAATAAGGTCAAGAACCACTTGTCTGGATCTGGAAGATGGCTTTTACACTAATTGTTACTAAATCACAAAATTCAAACATGTTGCAAAACTACGAAACGAACAACAACACAAACCTCTAATGTAAAAGCAACTTTTAAGTAAACTGAATGTCTTGTACAAAACAGTAAATACAGTTATCAGTAGGCCCACACGGATCTGCGCCTGTAAAAATCTGCAGAAAAGTATGTAGAAACTCCACAGATTGTTAAGCCTGTCGTTCTATTTATTCAGCTGTGTAAATATAAATGAAACTAATATAAAAACCTTAATACTATTATAAAAAAGGTAAGATGATTTGTGTACAATACATTTTTTTTAGTCTATATATGAGGGACCTGCTGCAGCTTTGATTACCAATTGGTTCAACTTGGATTTGCATTGTAAACCTTTAATAAAAATGTAGAAAAAATTTTTTTTACTTTATTTGTTGAGATTTTTGCTCCTAAATTCTCACAATCATTTCATATTATTCCATATTACAAATTTCTGCAAGAAAACAGCAAAAAACGTGCACAGATGTACTGTGGATTGGCTGTGGTTATCAGCCTCCAAAATCCATCACACATTTAGAGGACAAATCTTCTCACCATTGCAAACCCCACATCAGCTTTCTTCAGGGCAGGCCCATCATTTGTGCCGTCACCAGTGACTGCAACCACCTGCCTTTGTTCCACAACAGTGCTGTCTATAATACCTGCACACATGACACACACACAAAATTATTCATTCTACATTCAAGATGTTTTCACATATAAGCTGTCATTTCTGGCTTAAATGCTCAAATAAAATTTAACAATATCAATACAAGCTTAAATGGCATCTTATCACATGAATGCTTTTAACTATTCATTAAATATATTATAATCTAATAGTCCTACTGACATTTATTTACATTAAACTGTATTCAACACCACTTCAATGAACCTTAACAGTAATAAATGGGAAAACAAGTGATGTAAGCTTCAAATACAAGTCAAATTCTGCTCTAAAGCAGCTCTAGTTTCATGAATCTCCACTGAAAACAAGGGAAAGACTCACCTTTAACTAGAGTGTGTTTGTCAGTCGGGGAGGAGCGAGCAAGAACTCTGAGCTTGGGCCAAATTTTATCAATGCGCTCCTGCTCAATCTGCAAAAAATATTAAAAGAATCTTGAGTTTTCCAATCCTAGTCTAAGACCAGTGTATGTATGTATGTACACATCAATGCATTCATTTATGATTTATAACATAGTTTTTGGATAAAATTATGTCTTAAAGAGAGCCCAGGGTATCTTATGTACCCCAGATAACCCACTGTATTTTGTATTTCAATTACTGCCATCAGGACGTTTCGTTTTGAGTTCCTATATAGACAAGACAAACAGAATTAAAAATAATTTTATTATGGTGGTCATAAGGTTATTAAATGAGTCCAGGGGGGAGGGAAATAAATATGAAAATTGATTTACTGTATATTTTATGGTTAAAAACATATTAAGGTATACATGGAATTATGCCTCTGGTATGGCACCTTGCTGTAATTTTAGTTTGTTTAAACAGGATAATAAAATGAAGTGAGTCTGCATACATGATGTGAATAAATAAATAAATTTTTAAGTTTTTTATTTATTTATTCACATCATTTATGCACTCATTTAATAAAATACACTTTTATTACAATTAAAGAGTTGTTTCTATTTGAATATACATTAAAAATGTCATTTATTCGGCAAAGCAAAAATGTATCCCAGTGGTTTTCACAGTTTTATGATGCTTCAGAAATCTTTCTAATTTCATTATGGAATATTTTAGCTGGAAACCCTTTTAAGATTCTGTCATGAGTATAAGTTCAAAACGATAGGATGTATTTTAAATAGAAAACGTGTCACTGTAGATCAATTAAACACATCGTTCCTAAATAAAAGTATTAATTTCTTAATAATTAATAATTCTGCATGTCATATACTTATTAACATGCTATATGGTAAAGATTTAAACTAGAAATTCCAATCATGGTCAAATAAAATAGTAAGATTCATTCATAACTGCAAAACATATGTATACCTCTCCCTTCTCATTCCTGATGCGCCTATTGAAGTCCTTTCCTTCCATACACAGGAAGTCGTCGCCAGGATGGATGATGCCACACTTGGCAGCAATGGCACGTGCAGTGTTTATATTGTCACCCGTCACCATACGCACAGTGATGCCTGCTCGCTGGCACTTTCTGATGGCATCTGGGACCTGATTGGAAAATGACATTTAGCCAACCAAAACAGATAAGATATTATCACAAATATCTCTTGTATACAGCACAATAATATATGTGAAGTTTCTTCAACACCGTAAAACCCAACAGTCAACTTTATGAAATGAAATGAGTGTAGTTAACTCAAAATTGACTGAAAGTTAATTCTACTCATTTGAAAAGAGTTTTGAACTTTATGTTGAAGGTAATAAGTTAATTAAATACCTCAATACTTTAACCTAAATGAAGTTTACAGTACTCATATAGATTAGTTGTTGTTTTTTTAAGTCAAATGTTCTGTTGCAATCGGTGTCCTCAAACGGTTTGAGTTGCCTTAACTCATTGGGTTTTACAGTACTCAGTTGGTTTGAGTTCATATTATTGGGTTGTACTGTGCCCAAATTGCCTCCTTTACTCAAATGGACTAAGTTCACAGCACTCATTAGGATTAGTTTTTAAACTTAAATGGTTTGTTGCAATTGGTTTCCTCAAATCGTTTGAGTTACTTTAACTTTTGGGGTTTTACAGTGTATAAACAGCAGAGCTAAAGTCTAAATATAGACAATACACACATAAACAAAGCTCGTAAACAAGTGGTAATACCTCTGGTCGAACAGGGTCTTCAATGCCGACCACAGTGATGCAGGTAAGGTTGGAGACGATGTCGGTCTCATTGTCCCAGTCTGGCAGGGGGTCAGCTGGCAGCTCCCGGTATGCAATGCAAATCGTACGAAGGCCATCACATGCCATCGGCTCAATCACTTTCTTTACCATTTCGTCTTTGTCCCGTGCCCTAAAAGCACGAGCCTCGCCGTCACGCGATAAAATGAACGAGCATCTGGAATTAAGCAGAACTTAATTACTTTTTTTTAAACAAAGGATACACATCGGTACATCGTGTTACACAGTTAAAACGTCTATTAAATTTAGTACTGTTTTTAAACGAAATGCAGTGTGAACATGATTTAAATATCAAATTTGCATCAACCTAAAGGCTCCGATATACTACAAACAAAACTGAAGAATGAACTGAAATGACCCAGCAGGCACACAATTTCATAAGATGCTAATATTAGGTTAGTTTTAGGTCATGATATCAGGGGACCAAAATACAATGTATAGCCAGCGTCTGGAGGACGTTATTTTGTCGTTCAATAACGACATCAAATGACGTTGATATTTGGTTGATTTTAGGTTGTGTTCGAAAGTGACCAAAATCCAACATCGAGCAAACATATTAAAGCAACGTCATTTTGACATCAAATACTGACATTTGTTTGTCAGGTACAGTATGGCAAAAAAAATACAACATCTGATAGACGTCATAGTGGCAACGTCCACATAACGTCAAGTTGTAACATCAATAGACGTTGATATTTGGTTGATTTTTAGGTTGGACGTTGGGTTCTGACGTCGACCTGACTTTCATTTCCAAACAAAATGCAACATCCTCAAGACATTGGGGTACAACATCAATCTGACATCATGTTAACGTCCTGTGCCTGATGGGGAGGTAATTATTAAAAATTTGTTTTGAGTTTGTGTTGGCATTTCAAAACAGCTCACTAAAGCAAAATTTTGGGGGTAAATTTAATTCTAAACACCTTTGAGCTAACATTAGTCATTGGCGATTTGGCAATCAGTGGATATGTTCTGGATATCCGCACCTCTTTGACAAGCTTGAACTTATAGTGTCAAGGCCCGTCTCTCCACAGTCGAAATCAGTGTCCTGTGCCTTTTTCATGTTTCACAAACAGCAATAGGACTGGGCGGTATGGCAAAAATGCTATCTCGATAATTATATAATGTTAATGATATATCTTTCAATATCAGTTGTTAATGCTTCCAGATTTAAAAAGAGTACCCCAACAATGAAACAAAAAATTAGAGGGATCATTAAATGACAACATATTTCCGTCCACTAAATTTTGGGTGGCAAAATCTGGTACATCTAACATCCATACACTTCTAGATTCCCACTGTTGTACATTTGTGATGTGATATTGGCTCTTAGATCAATATAGAGTAAAAAAGTCCAGAGCTCATTATTGTTATTGACAAAAATTTAATTGCGATTCGATACAATATTGTTTATCAGCACAACCCTAAATGGCAATATACTTTTCAGGACACTGTCAAATCATGCGCCGCAACTTATGAAATATTAAAGCCTTTTTAACTTATTTTTGCCCTCAAACAAAGAATGAAAACAACTATTTTGAAGTATATCAGGGAATTGCAGAACCCCAAAGACATTCCAGACGTGCATTCATCCAGCAGTTTATTGTAAAAGTATTTTTAAAATGTCAGATCAAATTTATAATTAGCGCTTTTCATTAAACAGGTACAAATTAAACCCTAAATAAATGCTGTAAAAATGTTCTTAGTTTTAACAAATAGCTAATAAAATTAAAAAGATATCAATATCATAACAAAAAAAAAAGTTTGGAATCAGTAATTATATCTTATGTTCAGGCAGATTTGGTACTCAACAAATATTTTTTATATCAGATTGTGCTGCTAAATAAATTGGAGAAACTAGTACAGTATCTTCTTCAGGATTCACTGACCACAACTTACTTTTTGAGCAGGATCTCAGAGGCTCCTTTGCTGTACAAGCGGAAGCTTCCATCAGGCATCTGAATGACGGTGCTCATGGATTTTCGGACTGAATTAAAGGTGTAGACTTTATAGAGTAACTCCTCTGGGATCTGCTCTCTCACAGCTTGGTAGTCCTGCTTCAGGTCCAGGACGAGTCCCAGCAGAGCACACTCTGTCTTATTACCCACCTGTTTGGGCAGCCCACCTTCCTTATCAGCAGGCTGGAGGAAGAGTAAGACAGAGTGAGTAAGAAGATCAAATGATAACTCCAACCTGTAATGCAGTATCCTTTAAAGGGAAAGTTCACCCAAAAAATACACATTCTGTCTTCATGTACACTTCAGTTGAGTTTCTTTCCTCTGTTGAACATAAACGAAGACATTTTAAAGAATGCTGGTGACCTTCATTGATAATGTTTTTTCTTATATGGAAGTCGATGGATCCCAGCAGCATTCTTCAAAGGATCTTCTTTTGTGCTTAATGAACTCATTTACAAACACTTGAGGGAGAATAAATGATGAGGTAACTTTCATTTTTGGGTGAACTAGCCTTTAAAGTAAAAGCATCTGACCATTATTTTGGAGGTGTAGGCGCAGTTCACAGCAATAGCGCTGCTGATGAGCTCCAAAGTCCTTGGGTTAATCTGGTCTGGCGTTGGGATGTCCCGAAAGAGCTGGTCCCCTATATAAATCTGGACTACTGTCATCCGGTTAGTGGTGAGGGTCCCTGTTTTATCAGAGCAAATAGCCGTGGCATTGCCCATAGTCTCACAGGCATCCAAATGACGCACAAGGTTATTATCCTTCATCATTTTCTGTGAAGAAAAAAATGAACAGGATTATTGTTCAGTGGATGGCACTGTCACCTCACATCAAAAAGGCTGCTGGTTTGAGTCCAATCTGGGCCAGTTTGCATTTCTGTGTGGAGTTTGCATGTTCTCCCTGTGTTCGCGTGGGTTACCTCTGGATGCTCTGGTTTCCCCCACATGTGCTATAGGTGAATTGGATGAACTAAATTGGTCGTAGTGTACAAGTGTATGTGTGAATGTTTATGGGTGTTTCCCAGTACTGGGTTGTGGCTGGATGGGCATTCGCTGCATAAAATATATGCCGGAGTAGTTGGCGGTTCATTCCGCTGTGGCGACCCCTGATAAATAAGGGACTAAGCTGAAGGAAAATGAATGATTGATGAACTCTACTTTGAGTCAACATCATTCTTTGACACAATTTGACAGAACAGCAATGACTAATTACGGACTTACTTTTACGGAGTAGGCCAGTGATATGGTGACAGCCAGCGGCAGACCCTCAGGCACTGCCACTACCAGAACTGTAACTCCAATGATGAAGAACTTGACAAAGTATTGCACGTAGATCGGTGTGCACTCTGTCAGCCATGGCTGTTTATGAACAATGAACGTTTTAATCACAAAGTACAGCATCAAGATAATCACAGTGATGGCCGACATCACCAGACCTGAAACAAATCATACACCAGACTGCTTAGGAAAGAAATAGCACACATCTCTGCAAAGAGCCACACAGTTTTAGCTACAGTATATTTATTAAAAAAGGTTGAAACACTTTAAGGATTCAACGTTGAATAGAAAGCAGAAAATGATTACTTACACTTTAAATAGAAGCATAATGTAATGTTTAAATGTCTTCACTCTGCTTTGAGTAATGTAATAAAAGTGTTCAAACTGATAATTGGGCCAAAACATTTTTTTAAAGGTAGTGAATAAGATTTAATATACAGTAAAAAGCACATATATTTGTAAATAAACTAAAATGACTTTAGTTTATTTAGAATGATTTTTTTATCATGCAAGTACCTGCATCAGAAAAATCCACTTAAAAGGACAGTTCACCCAAACATCAAACTTGTATCATTTACTCACACTTGACTTGTTCCAAACCAACTTGAGATTTTTTTTTCCTATTGAATACTGTTACATCCGTAGACATATATTGTTTGTATTTTTGCTCCCGTTCTTGCTTTCTCTCTCTCTCTCCCTCTCCATGCAAGTCATTTTCATTAGGTCTGCCTAATCTGACAGCTGATTGGATAGGAGACTGGTCTGTCATTATTGGGCGACGTGGCACAGCAATACAGAAAGGATGCCTGGCAGAGGGGAGAGGAGCGCACTTCTCTTTGATTTTGTTTTTGTAGATTTTTGCTGACACTATTTAGATTTTTGATCACTTTGCTTAAATTTCGTTTGGGTAAAATTATTTTACACAATTTTGCCAACTTTAGAGACTTCTGTGCCTTTTGTACATTTGTATTTCGTTTGATTTGTTTGTTACTTTGATGGCCCAGCTCTTTCCAGCTTTATACTGAGCTTTTCTCAGAGAGTAAGGTGAATAGGGAAAACGTTGTACGACTTCTATCTTGCAAACATGTAGTTAACCTATTGTTAGGGACACCAGATAAGAGGTGAACACCATGTTTTGTTTTTTATATATCTAACAGCTGAGAATAGGGAAGAATACAGCGTATTCTCAGCGTATTCACTGAAGACTTTTGTTTCAGTATGCTTTATAAGAAGGTAAGAGGTTACTCTCGAGTTAGAATTGTTTTCTGATATTTCTTTATTTTGTTTGGTGTCAGGGGGCAGCACGTTGGCACAGTGCACATTCGCCTCACAGCAAGAAGGTCGCTGGTTTGAGCCTCGACAAGGTCAGTTGGCATTTCTGTGTAGAGTTTGCATTTTCTACCCGTGTTCACGTGGGTTTCCTCCGGGTGCTCCAGTTTCCCCCACTGTACAAAGACATGCGCAGTAGGTGAATTAGGCAAACTAAATTGTCCGTAGTGTGTGTGAATGGGGGTGTGTATGGGTGTTTCCCAGTGATGGGTTGCAGCTGGAAGGGCATCCACTGCGTAAAACGTATGCTGGATAAGTTGGTGGTTCATTTAACTGTAGCGACCCCTATTAATAAAGGGAGTAAGCTAAAAAGAAAACGAATGAATGAATGTTTGGCATCACTAGCGCCCCCTTACTCCTGAGTTGAACTAATATTTTGTTTGATACTTTATTTTTGAACTTGCTACTTTATAAAAAATTTTTCATTACTTTAAATATTTATTTTCGTGTATATTTGGATATTTGTATGGTTTCACTTTTGTAAATTAAATCTCTTTTGTTGGCATATCTGTTATCAATAGCCCCTTACATACAGACCTTTCAGACGGCAATTTTCCGTAAAGGTCTGTACGTGTGAACAGGCCCTTTTTGAAAATATAGGTAAATTTGTTCCGGCAATTTTCCAGAAAGAGAAGTTGTAACATTACCGGTAATTTCCCGAAATGCTACTTTGTGTGAACGCAGAAGGAAGATTGCCGGAAAGAGCGCATTCACGTCTAGAGCGTCTACTTTAGCCAATCAGAACATTCAGACGTGTTCACATCCGCACTGTTGATGAAAATAAAAGCCTTTGAATATTTTTCCAGACACATTTAGCTGCTAGATGTTGGTCAGATTACGTTTCTATGTTCCTTCTTAATGCCAACTGTCTAAAAAAATTATCGATAAAATGCTTATGATAAACCCCTGTTTGTTTACCTTCAAGCTCTGCTTCAGTTACTTGACGCGTGAGCACGTGAAGCAGCCGGTAAGCGCCAGCACACACACGTATATTATAAACATCTCGACATCTGAAAGTGTTCCTCCATATGTTTTCACATAAGTTGTTCACAATACCTATCCATGCACAGAATTTGTAATGTAGTCAAGTGTGTAAACATTTAGCTGCGGTTCGCGTTTCTGTCTTTAGATGTCTCACAGAGCAGCTACATAAATGATAAAGCTTTAAATAAAAGTTAAATTGTCGGACCCCTTCTACACAAAACACAAACACAGGACCCCTTATATGTTTACAAATACAAGTGCAGTCATTTAGAGGTCATTTCTGGTTGGTGATGTTAGAATTTGACGATATTTTGGAATGGATGTGCGAACGGTCTTTTCCAGAAAAATTGCAGCACGTCCGTGCCTGTGTGAACAACGCTTGTTTAAATTTACCGGTAAAGTCGTTCCAGTGGTCACCAAACTTGTTCCTGGAGGGCCGGTGTCCTGCAGATTTTAGCTCCAACTCTAATCAAACACACCTGAACAAGCTAATCAAGGTCTTACTAGGTATACTTGAAAGATCCAGGCAGGTGTGTGGAGGCAAGTTGGAGCTAAACCCTGCAGGGACACCGGCCCTCCAGGACCAGGATTGGTGACCCCTGCCCTAGACGAACATCAAAGAGGTTGTAACAAATACAAAAGGTGAAACCTGTAACCACTGACATCGACAGTAGGCTACAACGGATGTCAGTTCTTCAAAATCTCCTCCGTTCAATAGAAAACACTCAAATTTACTTGGAATAATCCGGGGTGAGTAAATGATGACAGTTTTCAGTTTTGGGTAAACTATCCCTATAACAAAATATTGAGTTATTCTTTTAGTGTTACCAAACTTTAGATGAAAGTGCCCAATGCTTATTTTCTGAATTCAGACAGCGTAATCACTTGATTAAAACATATTTAAATGTATTATTCAGAAATTCAGTGAAGTGTAAATGTAAAAACAAAACTGATACTAATATAAAAAGAAGAATTTGTCCTAAAAGAGTCTAACACCTCCTCACCTGCTTTCCCAATTTGCACTGCCAGCTTGGTGAGTTTGCCCTGAAGAACGGATTTCTCCTTCTTGGGCACACTGGCTTTTTTCTTCTCTTTCTCCTCCACTTCACCACCTTCTGCACTCTTCAGAGGCTGCATCTCCATGGCAACAGCCTCATCCTGTTTCTTAGCTGTGGAGGGTGGAGACAAATTGATCAAGGCAAGTAGAATTAGAGCTAATAGTAGGAAATAGGAGACACTATGTCGTGGCTTGTATGCTTACTGTATACTATGCATAAAAAGTACATTATCCTTATTTGTTCTGTGTGAAATTTTGCAAAAATATATAAAATGCATTAAAAGTACACTATAATCTTATTTTCAGGTGCTGCAGAATATCAATGCTGCCATAGCACATACACCGGAATGAAAGTATAGTTACTGTTTATACAGTCTTGAGGGTAACGCATGACAAGTTATGTAATAATATTACTTTTCTAAGTAAGGAGTAAAGTAATGACTTGAAAAAAATTTAAAAATAATAATATTTGAGTTACTTTTTTATTTTTTAAGATTTATTTTTGGCCCTTTTGTCTTAATTAGATAGGACATTAATGAGATAGGAAGTGATGTGGAAAAGAGCGAGGGTGGTAAGGTCGTGAAATGTCCTTAAGCCGGAATTGGAAATCAAGATGCCCTGAAGTGCTACTGCACCATATGTCGGCGTGCTAGCCACTAGGCTATTGTGCCGACTGAGTTACTTAAAAAGAAATTAACTTGAGTTACTTTTTAGAGTGATTAATTCACTTTTAAAAATAATTTCCTGATTAAAATTTAGTGTAATAACGTTGAATCACATTCAATGAGAATGCAGGAACAGACAGAAACCAAGAAACCTTACATTTCTGTGATGGAAGTATTCTCATTATGTTGAACACATAGAAGAAAAAGGGGATCATACTTTCAATGAACAGTGATTTTACAGAACTATTAAGACAAAAGTAGCAAACACATTACTTTCAACTTTCATTAATCTGTATATACAGCATAAAGCATCAGGAAGTTCTCAGAAGATAACATTATACTAGTCTTTTTTTCAAAGTTAAATGAAGGTCTAAGTTATAAAGTGTGTCGTTAATTGCAGAGCTCCTCTATTTAAAAAAGAAAAATGCCCTGCAAGTTCTGAAACAAAATAAGCCTCAGCCAGGTATGAAAAGTAACTCAAAAGTTACAGAGCATTATTTTCTATTAAAAGTTATAAGAAACGCAACTAGTTACTGTTTGGGGGAGTAACTCAATATTGTAATGCATTACTTTCTAAAGTAACTTTCCACAACACTGGTTATGTATGAATATATAGTTATAGATTTCAGCCTATAAAAAGGCAACATTTAATTTTCTGTCAGTCTTAGTCTCACAATATTACTACAAAAGAGTAAAGCTTTAAATTGAACAATTATAGAAACGAGTGGGTCATTTTTAAGCGAGATGCTAATGGTCTAATCTGATTCAATTATCTATTCTAAGCTAAAAGTGCCCAGACAGACCAGGAGACTGGTTGAATGTATTCAAAAATGGTAAAACTAAAATTGTTGCCTTTTAAAATGCATATTTTCAGTATAATTTAAAATAAAAACAAATGTGAAACACTTTACATGCAACATGATAATTGCAATGTAACAAAGTATTTTAGATTTATGTGATTTAAATAACTGAAAAGGCTTTATGTAAATTTATTAATTACCTTTGTATTGGCAATATGTAAAAGCTAATTTTTATGCGATGCACAAGATTTATTGTGCAGAGAAAATCAAAAGGATGTTTACATAGACTCCCGAGAGTCTCTTTTCTGTTATATGACAAAAGAAAGGAAAGTTTATAATGTTCTGTACTTTAATATATATGTGTCATGCAAAAAAAGAGATTAATTCATGGTGTAAATATATAAATCACAACCACAGGCCTAATTTTTGACATTGGAGTGTAATTTTACTTAATCTATCTGTCAAAATAATGAATTGTACAACTTGTGTAAACATATTTGTATCTACAATCAATTTCTCAACTGCTGTCAATTTTAGCTGCAAAGAAATTTAAACTGCGAGTTATTCCTAATTGTCCCAACTGTACGTGTGCAGGAGTCTAAGAACAAGCAGTGAAAACTGGAGTGCAACTAGTGGAAATGGTAGACAGTATGAAGTACGTACTGTACAATATAAAGCATCTCATTCTATAAACAACCTTTTACAATCTTTTAATCTAACCATATTTCTATTTGAACCTGCCCGTGTTAACTCAATTCTAAATCACTCAAAGTCACCTTTATTTTGGTTGTTCTCCAGGGTTCCATCTTGTTTCCCTGTGAAAGTTAATACAGAGATTTAAAGCAAACAAATACAGCTCCTGTTGCTTGAGGTCATTGCAGCTGAAATGAGACAACAATAAAGTGCATGAGAACGAAAACATAAAACATGGAGGGATAATATTTGACAGATATGGAGAGTTTAAACCAGGATGTCGGTTTATGAGACATCTCTCTGTAGTGAATGTCACCTACCATTTATGATGTTGTGTTCTTTGGCTTCAACACTGGGGAACTGCGTGGATGAATTACTATTGACCTCTGATAGAAATGTTGGAAACAGAGGATAGGACAAAAACGAAGGTGGTATGTAAAGACATAAAATGAAACCCAAATGCTGAACAAAAACAATGAGAAATCAACTCAAATGAGTGAGCAACATTTCAGTGCATCCAAACAAAGACCCACACCGTTAGACATTTGATAGTATTCAAGCAAAACTGATTTTTCTTTTATGATGTGAAGGTTTAATCATGCTCAACCTTTCAAACATTTAACAGTTATCAGAAGCCAACCTTTCTTGCAGTCTTTCTTCTCCTCCTCCATTTCTCCGGCCCCCAGTAGGGTGAAAATGATTCCCGTTTGAGAGTTGACGCCAACTGCAGTCACCAACATTTTCCCTGACCCCTCCATTACATGAGTGCCTGCAAATTAAGGGGGAGACAGACAAGACTTTTTATAGTTGTATAAATCTTATCTCTAATGTTTATGCCAAAACAGATTACAATAGCTTGATAAAAATGCTTCGCTACAAATAATGGACTTCAATATTAATCTTCAATAAGACATTTTAAAAATAGTTTAAAGGAACGAAAATTTGCAGTTGTTTTCAGAGCAATTAAATACAAATAAAATTGTAAATGTTGTGCACTCTTGAAATTTACTACCCTTTTGTTATGTTAGGGATTAAAACATCCACTGAATTAAACTGCTGTAAAAATGCATCAGATACAATTCTTTTTCAAGTTTTTTTTTTTTTTTTTTTTTGCATATATCTGTTAATCAATCAATCCTGATTAAAACTACTAAATTGTTTAGAAAATTACAGGACTTTAACTCTTTAACTGCCAAGTTCACAAATTAGGTCACTGATTTGGTTAAACAAAAAAGCACACACAAAAAGACGTCTCTTAAATATACAAAGTAATTGTGTACTGGACTTTTGATCACAGTCTTGGACTTGTCAACAATTAGTAACAACATTGGTTTTGATGCATTGTTAAATTTTCATTTTTTCTATTTGGTGGCTGTTTTTGCCCCATTGACTTCCATTATAACCACATATGACGGTGCATAAATACATAGTCTTTGTTTTTGTTTACTCCATGTAGTTCTGAGAGCTGAGATGCATATTTAGATTTTCTCAGACACATCAAGGTAAGTTTGTACAGGTCACTCTCACACACTCAGACACACATACTTTAATTTGCTGTTATACTCCATATAAATCCAGAAAGTAAGGGATAGCCACCAGGGAAAACCACCAACAATCAAAAACACATGATTATGCAGTGTCATAGTTTTTAATTTAAAAAGTGGTTATAATGTAAGTCAATGGTGCAAAACCAGTAAATTAGGGAGAAAAAATGAAAGTCAGCCAAAAGACAATGCATCAAAGGCAATGTTGTTTACTTGTCCAAGACTGATAAAAGGTAAAAAATAAAAATAAAAATCCAGTCCACAATTACTTTTTATATTGAAAATCCATAATTTTATATGTGTTTTTTACCAAATGAGTGACATCATTTTTGAATTTGGCAATTAAAGAGTTAAAATCCTGTAATTTTCTAATCCATTAAGTAGTTTTAATCAGGACTGAGGTTGGTTAACAGATTTATGCAAAAATAAATAAAATATGTATGTGATGCATTTTTACAGCACTTTAATTCAGTGCATGTTTCCATCCCCAACATTACAAAAGGGTAGTCAATTTGCCCAGAGTGTATGGTTGAGGTTTTTTTTTAATCAAAGCATTTTCTTCGAATATGTGTCAAAGTAAGATTTGTCACCAAAAAATTATCCTGCTAGCTGAAACACAGAAAAGGTTATTGCCAAATTAAGAGTAAATCACCCCAGTGTGGATGAAAACATGCCCAACAGTATTTAAAACGCCATTGTGTATCCACAATAGGAATGTTTGTTTTGTTATTAATGTGTCTATTTATTTATGTATACACTGTTAAAAGTCATTTATTATCACTACTAATGACTGTGCTTGAAACTCGATACTCGTTGTGTTTAATTCAGATGCTACTAAGCTGTGCCTGGGGAAAGACACTGAAGTCTCAATGTGATTTTGTTTCTCCTGATAATTCAGGTATGTTTGATAAAATGTAAATATGTTTATTATAATTCATGTAAAAACATGCGAGTACACATCCCCTATGTGTTTTAAAGCGATCAAGCTTATTTACAGTTAATTGAGAAGAGGGATTCAGATGAAGGTACCAGTAAAATGACAGTTGGTCTGAGTTTGTTATAACTCTCTCCCCAGTAAATGATATGTATTTTACAGTATGTGCTAACTGAACAGAAAAGGACTTATTATTTGTATATCGGTTATATATTTGTTAATGTATAAGGTTTATGAGAGTCGAGAGTAACATTGGTAATTGATGTCAAGTGTAACTGTTACAATTTAAATGATATAAATAACAGACGCATGCTTATTCTGTGAGTTTAGTAGTTTTCTGGTAAATGGTTACATATAGAGGTGTTAACAGAGAAAGAAAAATGAAGTAGATAGTTGACAAAGAATTTAAAGTGTATTCTGTGCCCTACTGATAAATATACAGAAGGTATATTTATGTGTTATGATGAGAGAGTACAGAGCGTATAAGTATTTGAAGACTTTATTGTTGTAAAAAGAGAACAAAACTGTATGTTTGATTAAATGAAACATGATTTTTGAGGATACTTTTGCATTGCATGATTAGTGAGGATATGTTTGCTATAATATGACTACTTTTAATAAACAGATGCTACTAAGCTGCGCCTGGGGAAAGAAGTTTCAATGTCATTTTGTTTCTCCTGATAATTCAGCCACTTCTGCCTACGAGTTCCGTGGACCCGTAACAAGTACATAAGGGTTCACTGAAAATATTTATTTGTATTCATTTATTTAAAATGTTTTAAGTAATAGTTTGATTATTATAATAATTTTTTCAGTATTGGTAATTTGTTTAAATTGTATTTATTAAATAATAATTTTATTATTACTATTTTTACCCAAGATATTAGATAGCTGCTACTACAAAAATGAGTATTTGAGTTTGTGTCATTTAGATTTGGCCATTTACAAACCAGCTTTAAGTGACTAAATTACTATCTATGACATTAACAGAGTCATCAATCATTTGTAAAATACATTTAGCCTTTTCTCCATATCTAACACACTTCTGGGATTGAAATTTCTTAAATCCATACACGTTTTGTATTTCATGTAAAAGTGAAAGTTAAATAAATGTATTTATTCATAATCTCATAATGAAAATGATGGTCTGTGTAAATGCAGTAACACCATGATAACATTCAAACCTTTGATCTGCAACTTCTCATTAATGAATCAACAGAAAAAAAACATCATTGTATAAACAAGCAATTATTTCAGCCAATTATGTCTTTACATTCCAATCAATAGCCTGTGCTTTCATTTCATCATTGTCCGATCAATAGTATGAGTCAGAGTTAATGTATTGTTGTTGTTTGTTGTGCTCACACTAGCCTCACCACTCGTCTAATAAAACAATCAAGATTAAGGCTGAACTCTCCTCCATGGCCTTTTACAGCGTAATACAATTAAACTGAGCCAGATTGCTTCTTCGTGCCTTGCTTCACTGCACATTAATTCTTGCTTTCTTTGCCTGTATTTTGGAGTTGCTTTTGAGTAAAAAAAAAATAATTATATATATATATATATATATATATATATATATATATATAAAATATATATTTAAATTATTATATTATATATGTGTAAATACATAAAATAAATGCTTGAAGAAATAAATTTTTACTTACATTGTATAACTACATCAATCAAAGCTAAAAGAGGTTTATGCCTATTGTCACTGCTTTCTACAGGAACAAACAAGACAAAATGACTGATTATGACAATTATATTTTGCAGCGTGAATTTCCCTCTTCACAACAGAAGCCTTCAAACATTCCTGTTGAGAAGAGACGTCTCTCCCATAATGACTGAGAAAATAATATGCACCCCTTGATGATTAATTGCGCAAGATGATGAACAACACAAAGCTTGTCAATATTAAAACAATGTAATAAGAGAGTTCCATGGAAAACAAACATCTTAAAGGTAAGGAAATATAAAATAAGAGAGCTTAACTTTGGCAACGTGGATATCTTATGCTTGCATGAAACATTTACTCAATTCAGATAAATCAAAGCAGCTTTAAATGAAGTAGCTCCTGCCTTCAAAACAAGTTCTCCCTCAGGCCAACCACCTCCACAATGACCTTCAGAACTGACTGGAACCAATCCAGTTTCACTCTTAAAATCTAACATCACATACATCAAGCACATCGGAGTATAAAAATAAGACATTAGATAACCTGTCGTTGTTTTTTTTAAGTTGGAAACTATCAGTATAATATAAGTTTAAGATTTCAAGATTAAATATTTATAAATCACATGATGTCTGTATAAAATGTTATTGACTCCTATTTAAACTCTTTGATGCACAAGCTATGTAAAACTACTTCTAATGCACAGCATGAGTCTAAAATGACCAACATACAACTCAAAGAAGGATATGTTCCTGGGAAAATGTAGAAGTTGTGTTGAATATATTTTAAATAAAAGACCTGATTTTAATTCTGTAAACAAATAGAAGATGCTCAACTGACAGATAAATAAATGCTAATGTGAGTATATGTATATGGTTATGTAGTCTGTGTAATACCTATGTACTGTATGTAATGAAGGGGGTCATTTAAGACTGTTCTAGAAGGAATTATATACCCCTGGGTAATTATAGGAATTATATCACCCTGGATGTAAATAGTATTGTAATTCTTGGTTTTATTATTGCTTTCTTTTGAATTTAATGCTGTTTTACTTTTTATAATTTATTAAAATGTAAGTACTATGTATAGTTAGTAGACTTGGCAATAATGTATGTAAAGGTCACATACTGAAATCCAAATGTAACTTGAAATATTGCATAATTGTACCCAAGTGAGTGTTAACAACAAACATAAAAATATTAAAGAACAAAGTGACCCTACATACATTCTATTTGTAATTTCACACTTGGCTTGGATTTTTTTAGTTCGTTTATCTCATCCCCTTATGTAAATCCCCCTCAATATACAAACAAATATTATTTTTATTGAAAATGCAGGAAATGAATATGGATTTGTGATGTTCAGAAACAAGTTAATTAAGGAATTCCTGGAATACCAAGTGAAGAAGTTCATTTATAGCAAAGATAAAGAAATTCTGATGCAGTCAAGTGACTTTAGACCCATATGTGCAATAAAGGATAAAAGTGAATTTTCTGCAATCACTTAACTAATCATCAATCTATTTGATGAAAGATTCTACTCATCTGTGCTGATTTCACTTAAGAAACCTGTTTAATTACTTGCATAAAATATTTCAATGAATATGAATTATTTTATATTATTTATGGTCACATTAAATGCAGTTTTGCAGAATAAAAGTATTACTTTAAAAAAATCCTACAAACAAATTTAAATGGTAGTATAAAAATGCACATTCAATTTTAACATTATCGATCACTTCTGATCAATTTAACGTGTATTTACTGAATAAAACTATTCATTTATTTAAAAGAAACAATGACTGTACTAGTACTGCAAAACATATCCTTTCAGCATCGATATTGCAATGTGTCCACAATAGTCACATAGCATAGTTATGCAATGTTGAGTTGACTTTGCAGTGTAATATTTATATTATCTTATACAAAACCATAATGCATGCATTGTTTATTTCATTTTTACCTTTGCACTGTTGCATGTATCTATGCTTATAGTTTATTACATTTTATGCATTACTCGTTTCCCTACAGAATCATCCCAATCAAAATGAATATATTTGATAACACTTTAGAGACCAATTCTCATTATTACTAGTTGCTTATTAGCATACTGTACATGTTATTGAGATGCTTAGAAGAGCCTGTATTCTGTATAATCTTATTCTACATTTGTAATCCTACCCAATACATAAACTACCTTATCAACTACAAATAAGAAGCAAATTAGGAGTCGATTGAAGCAAACGTCAAAATGGTTTGCTAAGAGCGAGAATCGAACCTTAAAATTAAGTGACCAAAAATTCCAAGTCTAATTATGTATAAAAAAGAATATTGCAATATATACTGCATAAAAACAAAACATCGCAATGTCAGATTTTTCCAGCATCGTGCAGCCCCACTATGTACTTTCTTTTAATTCATTGATTAATTATTTACTGAAAATACAAGCAGATCTGAACTAGACATTTAATGGCATTAACAATATTCAAACCTTTTCTCTGGGCACAAATTAGATTTCATTATTCTTCATTAATGTCAATTGAGTCGTGCAAGTCCATTCTAATCGCATTACGCTGGCATTTTTCACTTAAAATATCTAAAAGCATGTTACGCTTCCATAAATTCCCTTTCCCATTTGTCTCCCTGGCTTCATCATGCCGAGGTCGTGGGGTAGCAGTGCGTGTGTGGCCAAGCAGAGAAACAGATGCTGCTCTGGTGAACTACCATCATTAGAAAGAAGTGGCAGAGCAGCTCTCTGGAGGACCTAATACAAATCCTTCCTCCAGGAAGCAGAGATGAGGGAGGAAGCTGATTAACCTGTTTATCAGACCTCAGGGACATTCTCTCATTAAAGTACTCAATGAGATTTAGCCTAAGCGCTGTATCACCTGAGTGTTAAAAGTATTGACAGAATACTTTGTGAAGGTCCCTTCCCCCCCGCCAAACAGCAAATTGGTTCTATTCAGATGGATTGCACAGTGTCAGCTTAAATGAACTGATATGGGTAATTCGCAAACAGAATGAAGATTTCCAGTACTCTACATGCGTGATACGAACCATGCACGGACAGAAAATGGCACCCCTGGGATTAAGCATCCTGCTCAGGCAAACTAAACAAGCTGTGCATGTTCAAGCATGCAACTGCTTGGATTTTCGAACACAATCCTGAATCATCATATTTATTAAAGGTCACGTGAAATGGAAATTGCTGGGACTTTTATTTCATCTGTTGATTTAATTACAACTGAATTTTGAGTAGTGGCCGGAGCTTTATTTTTTGAACATCATTTCTTTATAGCAAAATGAGCGTGGTTGAGAATTAGTGGTGTAACGGGTCACAAATCTCACGGTTTGAATCACATGGTTTTTTAGTCATGGATAGGACCATTTTTCAGATCAGCCAAAAAGGGGAGGAGACAAATGTAATTTGCGTTTCATTTATTACAAAAACAGTACTGCAAGAAACTTTGGTTTTAACAAACAGAACTGAAAACTGTAATTTTATTAAAAATAAAATGAAGAAATAATCAGCTGAATGAAAATAAATTGTAAAATGTTCTGTGAAGAATTCACTGTTACTACTTCTGTTGCTGATAATGCTAAATCTAGAAATCTAACATTATAATTCGTACAACCCGTATTTATTTTGAGTCTAATTTGCAATAAATGATTCGGTTGTTCAATCATAAATTTTCTTGTTTCATTGCTAGATGGATCATTTTTGAAGAATTATTCAGTGGCATCTTTTTGATGGCTGGTTGTTGCCACCTATTAATTAAATAACCTAATTGTTGAATACAAGTTTCATTGATTATTAAAAGTTGAAGGTCCAAGACACCCTCGAGCACTTTATTTAAGATTCTAACAGATTTGTGTGTGTTGAGGATCAGTAAAGACAACGTTAGCACCTGTCATCTTTAATTGTGGGAAAAACTGGATCATTTTGAGCTTTTGTCAGCTAATGTCATCTTCCGGGTTTAAAATAATTTTTGGCGGGTGATCAAAAACGGTTATGTAGCATAAATCTACTAGTCATGACGCGTCGGTTTCTTATTATTATTTATAGCAAAGTTTTCTTATCCTATGGGAAGAACCTGCATCTTAATTATTCGTGAGAGTGCTTTCCGAAGCCAAGGCAGACCTGCCTAGCTGTAAGACCCAATGACTGGGTGAGACCGCGTCTGCACACTAGTTGTATGTGCTTGTTTCCATGATTCACACAATTTGCTGCATGTTTTCCCCACGATTCGGCCGATACAGCAAAGTTGTTGGTTTGCAGCAAGCATTTTTGTCGAGAGAGCTATATGAGAATTGGAGAATGGCTTTGTCTTTTATCAGTTGAGTTCGTTACCATTCAGACACATCACCTATATCTGTGCTGCTATTCGCCATATGTTTAAAATCTCCAGATTACCAGCAGAGTTAATGTTTGGAATAGACAGGGAAAGAGACCTGCTGCACTGCTATCCACTGTGGATAGAAGTCCTCCTCATTTATAGTGTTTATATAAACACAATTATCTTTATGATGATATAACAATTTGTTCTTGTGTGTATATGAAATTAAGAATAACATATGTAGCAGAACATTAAATTACTTACGGTTTATTTCTTTGTATTTTAACTTTGTAAACTGGGTTTCCTCAAGGTTTGGGTCTCATTTTGTGAGCCAGTTGACAGTTGTTCGCTCCCCTTTTTCTCCCCTACTCTGACGACCACGCCCACTCCTCCCACTGCTCACAGCGCTCCACGCCCATCTCGAAGCATTTATTTAAACAATACTGAGGTTGGGGATTTCATGGCCCTTTAAATGCATATGTTGGTGAGTTTAATATTTACCATAAACATTGGTGGTTTTATCTAAACTATAAACTGTTTTCCCAGTACTTATGTGTTATTTGACTGTTTGAAACTTCATAACGAACTCAAAAGACTGAAGACTCAATCTCTTTTTTGTTTTTTGCATTTTTAAGCACAGATTTGAATGCAGCGATTAATAAAGATTAATAAACATAAGCAAATCACTATCATTTATAATTTGTGTTGCGTGGGTGTTGAGATCCCAATCTTTTAATGATTAATCGTGCAGCTTACACTAAATGCATTAATGCAGGCTAAACAATTAGTGACAGAAATAACCTAATAACACCTTGCCAACACCTTAATAAACTAGGATACCCTGCACATCCCGAATAACCAACCACAACTTCTTCTATCATCGTTATATTTAACATGAAAGCCTATATGTTTTCATACATGTGATTTGAATGACACAAGTTGTGATCTCTCAGCAATCGTTAAAAATGTAGGATTAATCTACAGGTAAAAAAAATGTATTAGCCTAATACACGGGTCACGTGTGTTCCGAACCGTGGGTTGTGACCCATGCGAACTAAAAATCAAATAACTGTGATCCCTTACACCACTATTAAGAATAATGTTATCAACAGAGAAAGGCCGCCATTCCCAACACAAAAGCAAATTGTCAGACTTTAATTGAAGATTACCTAAGTTTTTTTTTCAATGGATTAACTAACAAATTAACTGTTCACCTAAAGAATAAACAATGTACACTTTTAAAATAACCATCGCAAATTTAGAAAAAGATGTTAAAAAGCAGTATTCAGAATAACCAGAACTATTTATAAACACACACACACACACACACACACACACACACACAAAACTCAACCTAAGACCATATGGCCGTCCCAGTCCACACGACTCCAAGCAAACACACGCAAACATATGTTAGCTTATATAACCTTTACTCCCTACCTGACAGCAGCATGGGATCCTTGTCAATGGATTTGCGTACGTGATCAGACTCTCCAGTGAGGGAGCTCTCATCGATCTTTAGGTCGTTCCCTTGGATGAGAACACCATCCGCAGGCAGGAGGTCGCCTAGGAGACGCCAGAGTGACAGCAACAGATCAATTACATCTTACCATTGAGTACTACTATCTCTAATGGACAACATATATATCAATCCAGAGGCCACTTGAAATGTGTCTCTCTCTGTGTGCTGGAATTATTAGGTACAGTATGCATTTAAAGTGCATAATATTAAGCTAAATTGTAAGAATTATTTATATAAAAATAAATGCGGGGTAAAAATCATCAGACCAGGCAACGTTTTTCTAATCTTCTATTGTACAAATTTCAAGATTAATTCGCATCCAAAATAAAAATTGACATAGTTTACACTACCTGACAACAGTCTTGTCATTGATCCCAGTTTTAAGAGTAACAAATAATAACTTGACTTCCAGTTGATCATCTGGAAAAGTGTCAGATGGTAGATTTTTCAGATAAATCATCTGTTGAACTGCATCCCAATCATCAAATACCGCAGAAGACCTACTGGAACCCCCGCATGGACCCAAGATTCTCACAGAAATCAGTCAAGTTTAGCGAAGGAAAAATCATGGTTTGGGTTTTGCATTCAGTATGGGGGCGTGTGAGAGATCTGCAGAGTGGATGGCAACATCAACAGCCTTAAGTATCAAGACATTTTTGCTGCCAATTACATTACAAACCACAGGAGAGGACAAATTCTTCAGGAGGATAGCGCTCCTCATACTTCAGCCTCCACATCAAAGTTCCTGAAGGCAAAGAAGGGCAACGTGCTCCAGGATTGGCCAGCCCATTCACATATAAACATTATTGAGCATGTCTGGGGTAAGATGATGGAGGAGGCACTGAAGATGAATCCAAAGAATCTTGATGAACTCTGGGAGTCCTGCAAGAACGCTTTCTTTGCCATTCCAGATGACTTTATTAATCAGTTATTTGAGTCATTGCAGAGATGTGTTGATGCAGTCCTCGAAGCTCATGGGAGTCAGACACAGTATTAATTCCTTCTCCGCTGCTCCATGACTTTATATTCTATACTGTACATTATTTCTGTTGAGTAACAAGACTTTCATCTAAGAAAAGTCAGACCTTACTGTTCTAAATAAATAATTGAAAATCAAGGCATGATCATATTTTTCTTTTGGTAAAATAAGCACAATCAAGATGCCTTTGCCTTCAATATAAGCCACGTCTTATTCCAAATTATCAACAAGTCAAGTTATTATTTGTTGTTCCTAAAACTTGTCTAGGCAACAAGACTTCTGTCATGTAGTGTATGTGTGTTTACTCAGTATGTTTATTATGAATACACATATGCATGCATATATTTGAGAAAATGTTTATTTATATTTAGATATAAAGTATGTATGTGATACACATCATATAGATTTGTTTCTATGTATGTGTGTATCACATTCACATATATATATATATATATATATATATATATATATATATATATACATACATATACATATATATATATATATATATATATATATATATATATATATATATATATATATATAGGATCTGATTAATCGTGATTAATCTTTGCCCAGCACTAATAATTACACAAACTGATTTTAAATTAATTTTGAATTTGAGGATAAATTATTTTTATAATTGATTTGCTATTTGAATGCATCATATGTAATACCTCTACAGATTTTAACATTTTAATAAGTGTTCAACCCAATTTTAACATTCATAAACCAGATATTTATTCAGCAATTTGATATACCCTGTTCCATTCCAGATGTTTAAAAAAAAAACAAGGGACAAGTTGAGGGACAAATTTGAAACTCTACTGACCATATTTGACCTGGGCAATATCCCCCACCACCATCTCAGCCACAGGGATTTGAATGACCGTGCTGTTGCGCACCACAGCGAAACGTTGCTCCTGTTCGATGCGGCTCTGCAAGCCACGAAACTGCTTTTCTTTGCTCCAGTCATTGAAGGCAGTCACCAGCACCACGCAGATCACCGATAGCAGGATAGCTGCACCCTCAATCCAGTTGGCATCCGCCTCTCCCTCGTCCTCCGCACCTTCACTCACTTCAACACATGCTGGACGGAGAGGGGGAGAGAGAACAGAGTCAGAGATGGAAAGGTAAAAATGTGTAGGAGGACAGGGAGTATGAGTGTATACTTGTGATCCTTTATATTCTTTTATCGATCCATCTACCTCTCACTCCATTCTTTCTATTCTTTGTTTTTTTTATCTGTACATCCATCTCTACTGGTGCTTAAAACCACATACGAGACAGTTTCTTATATATATTCAAAACCTTCAAACTAACATTAAAAGACCTATTTAGGGATAAATATTTTCAAAAACATGCAGTGGTATCAGAGGTCGGATTAGAAAAATAGTTAAAAAAAAAAAAGAGTTAAATTATTTAATTTAATAGGACTATGGCTTCTATTTATCATAGCATCTTTTTTATGAAAAAATGTCTTAGAGCATGTTGCTTGTGTCAGTTTTTGGTGAAAACACATTGTACGGGTCAGAATGATTGATATTTTTTTATGCCAAAGACAATTAGAATATTGGTGAATTTACATATACAATTTACTTTCATCTCTATGTATAAAATATACTCTCACTGGCCACTTTATTAGGTACACCTTACTAGTACCAGGTTGAACCCCTTATGCCTTCAGAATTGCCTTAATACTATGTGACATAGATTTAAGAAGGCAACGGAAATATTCCTCAGAGATTTTGGTCCATATTGACATGATAGCATCATGCAGTAGCTGCAGATTTGTCGGCTGCACATCCATGATGCGAATTTCTCATTCCACCACATCCCAAAGGTGCTCTATTGGATTGAAATCTGGTGAATGTGGAGGCCATTTGAGTATAGTGAAATCATTGTCATGTTCAATAAACCAGTCTGAGATAATTCACACTTTATGACATGGTGTGTTGTCCTGCTGGAAGTAGCCATCAGAAGATGGGGGTAACCTGTGGTCAAAAAGGGATAGACATGGCCAGCAACAATATTCAGGTAGGCTGTGGCGTTGACATGATGCTCAGTTGGTACTAATGGGCACAAAGTGTGCTAAATAAATATCCCCCACACCATTACAGCACCACCACCAGCCTGAACTGTTGTTACAAAGCAGGATGGATCCATGCTTTCATGTTGTTGATGCCAAATTCTGACCCTACCATCCGAATGTCGCAGTAGAAAACAAGACTCACCAGGCAAAGTTTTTCCAATCGTCTATTGTCAAATTTTGGTGAGCCTGTGTTATTTTTGTAGCCTCATTTTCCTGTTCTCAGCTGACAGGAGTGGCACCTGGTGTTATCTTCTGCAGCTACAGCCCATCCGCTTCAAGGTTCGATGTGTTGTGTGTTCAGAGATGCTCTTCTGCATACCTTGGTTGTAACGAGTGGTTATTTGAGTTACTGTTGCCTTTCTATCAGCTGGAATCGGTCTGGCCATTCTCCTCTGACCTCAACAAGGCAATTGCACCCACAGAACTGCCGTTCACTGGATATTTTCTATTTTTCTGACCATTCTCTGTAAATCCTACCAATGGATGTATGTTAAAAGTAGATGAGCAGTAGATCAGCAGTTTCTGAAATACTTAGATAAGCATGTCTGGTACCAACAACCATGCCAAGTTCAAAGTCACTTAAATCATCTTTCCTCCACATTCTGATTCTCAGTTTGAACTGCAGCAGATCAGCTTGACCATGTCTAAATGCCTAAATGCATTGAGTTGCTGCCATGTGATTGGCTGATTAGAAATTTTTGTAAATGACCCCTTGAATAGGTGTACCTAATAAAGTGTCCGGTAAGCGTATTTGAATTTACAACTGTAAATATATCAAAATATGATTTTTAATTAGTAATGTTCATTTCTAACCACTTAATTTAAACAACCTTAAAGACAATATATGGATTTTTGTGTCACCCTCATATTCCAGAATTGCAGATAGCAAAATAGTAGACCAGAAATTGTCCAATGCTGATAAATTATTTATGCAGCATTCAGATTATGTGAATATATCAATTTCTAAACATTTACCCTTGTGACTGGCTTTGTGGTTTATTCTCACATCTCTTTTAGTATCCACCACACACCAATGCACATTAACTCTGTGGTTAACTCAGGCTGTCTTTGCTCAAGGTCTTTCTGATTGGTATTCATATTGTATTGTTTCTCAACTCATTCTTGCAGCAATTAAAACAAATCTTGCTTCAATATTCTGGTATTATTATATTTGTTCTGTGAACTACGTTGAAACATATTTTTTAATTTTATTTTAAAAAAAATTTTCTCGATTATATCTTTTTTTGCTATCATCCTTGGTGTGATCAGGCCAAATCACCTTCACTGTCCCCTCCTGGCGGCTGGTAAAAGGACAGTCCGAGGGAAATAATGGCCGCTATTTCCAGGATTATGAGGGTAATATCCTGTAGAGCCTCCCACACAAGCTCAAGGAAGGTCTTGGGCTGCTTAGGAGGGATGAAGTTCATTCCAAAAACCTTTCGACGTTTCTCCAGATCCGCAGGATTGTCCGATAGCCCTTTGTGATGGAAAGACATTATTAACAATTTTATTAACAGAAATTCAGTGACACAAGTAAGATGATGGTACACTGAACAGGCCACATCCTCTAACAGATCTATTTTCAGATGTTAGGCGCTCCCCTGAAAATATACTATAGTAAGTTATGGTAAATACTATAGTGTTTTTTTTTTTACCCACACTGACACTGACATCTTCAATAGAGATGACAGGCTGTGCAATTGATTTTTAGGTATGGGTGATTCAATTAAATTATTTCCCCAAATTCCGCACACAAAACCCCATAATGACAATGGCAAAAAAAAAGTTTTTTTGAAATTTATTAAAAATAAAAAACCTGAAAAATCACAATTCAGTTGATTGGACATGATTTGAAAAGGCATACACCTGTCTATATAAGCTCCCAGGGTTGACAGTGCATGCTAAAGCATAAACCAAGTATGAAGACAATAGAATTGTCTGTAGACCTCCGAGACAGGATTGTCTTGAGGCAAAAGGCTGGGAAAGGTTACAGAAAAGTTTCTGCTGCTCTAAAAGTTTCAATGAGCACAGTGGCCTCCATCATCAGTAAAAGGAAGATGTTTGGAACCACCAGGACTCTTCCTAGAACTGCTCGATCATCTAAGCTGAGTGGTCGGGGGAGAAGGGACTTAGTCAGGGAGGTGATCAAGAACACGTTGGTCACTCTGTCTGAGCTTCAGCGTTTTTCTGTGGAGAGAGAACCTTACAGAATGACAACCATCTGTGCAGCAATGCACCAATCAGGCCTGTATAGTAAAGTGGCCAGACGGAAGCCACTCCCCACATGGAATTTGCCAAAAGGCTTCTGAAGGACTCCCAGATCATAAGAAACAAAATTCTCTGGTCTGATGAGACTAAAGTTTAACTATTTGGAATGAATGCCAGGTGTTACGTTTGGAGAAAACCAGGAACCGCTCATCATCAGGCTAATATCATCCCTACAGAGAAGGATGGTGGTGGCAGCATCATGCTGTGGGGATGTTTTTCAGCAGCAGGAACTAGACTAGTCTGGATAGCGGGGAAGATGAATGCAGCAATGTACAGAAACAGCCTGAATGAAAACTTGCTTTAGAGTGCTTTTGACCTCAGACTGGGGCGACAATTCATCTTCCAGCAGGACAATGACTCAAAGCACACGCCAAAATATCAATGGAGTGGCTTCACAACAACTCAGCAAATGTCTTTGAGTGGCCCAGCCTGAGCCCAGTCCTAAATCCTACTGAACATCTCTGGAGAGATCTGAAAATGGCTGTACACCGCAGCTTCCCATATAACCTGATAGAGCTTGAGAGGTACTGCAAAGAAGAATGGGCAAATATTCCCGAAGACAGGTATGCCAAGCTTGTGGCATCATATTCAAAAAGACTTGAGGCTGTAATCACTGCCAAAGGTGCATCAACAAAGTATTGCGCAAAGGGTGTGAATATTTAAGTACATGTGATTTTTCAGGTTTTTTATTTGTAATAAATTTGCAACAATTTCAAGAAATCTTTTTTCACATTGTCATTATGGGGTATTGTGTGTAGAATTTTGAGGAAATCAATTAATTGAATCCATTTTGGAATAAGGCTGTAACATAAGAAAAATGTGGAAAAAGTGAAGCGCTATGAATACTTTCCGGATGCAGTGTATACTAGCGGAGTCACAAATTCATTTATTAATGGGCTTTTCTCCATGTAAATGCTTTTAGCAACTTCCTGAATGCTCATTAGTCATCGCTCAATTCTTTTAGCACCAATCCCTGACCTCTCAGGGTGACAGGAAGGGAGGGGAGAGGACATAACAGGAGAACACAGGGCACAGATGGTTAAGTCAGTGTGTTTCGGATGCACCACAGGGTGTGATTTTTGGCAACGAGACCCAGACAGACTGTCACGCTCTCTGCATCCTCGCCCTGCCAATCATCACCTGCTGCCCCTGGCAACCTCTCATCTCCCAACAGAGCTTCCCTTTCACTCACTGCAAAACCTAATTGAGTTACTCCAATGGTTTGTAGGAAATCATTTCCCTAACTCATTCCAATTGCCCCAATTAATTCATTCAGGCACAATATGCTCAAGAGTAATTAAGACAAGTAAGATATGCCGGTGCAATCCTCTTTCCACAGACAAGCAGTATTGAAAGGCTTGTCCGGTACATCCAGGCCTTTCTTCTCCCCTTTCATCTCTCCATCCATGCCCGTAAGCTTCTCTTTTTGTATCCCTGTCAGAGCTTTTTCAAAGAGCAGCATTAAAGGAGGAGAAAGAGCTTTACAATCAACTTAAAGCAACCTCAACGTGGCTAGCGAATAGCGATGCAGGCAGACCGCATGACTTGGTCTGAAAGCAAGTGGTCAGAACAAGATCAATGTGATTATCAGAGCGCAAAGTGGGATCATCTAGCCAGAATAGACACAGCAATAAAAGATTCGGAGAAAAAATATTATTTTACATTCTTTAGTGTTCTGTAACACTAAACTGTAAGCCATTTCTGATCAAGGACAGCATGAAACTGTAGAAATAAAATTGATGGGCAAGCACATCTGCCTATCTGAAGCCTCCTGTATTATGCATGAAGATGTATTATGCAACATGCTTTGGCAGAGAAAATACAAGAGCTTAGATATTGTCTTATAGTTTTGTGTTACTATTAGAGCTTTAGTTCTATAGTGCAGTTTGAGTGTAAGCTTCTGAGCTTCTGATTTTATAGGCCCTATCTTACACCCGGCACAATAAGGTGCAAGACATATTTGGCACAATGTGTTGATAATTTCAAAATAACGCAACCATAAGCTTTGCACCACTTTGTGGACTCATCTAGGTCTAGAAAGGAGGTGTGTTAAGGCGCATTGTTGCCACATTGCTATTTTGAGGAACTAAAACAGACTGAGCACGTTAGTTGTGCACCTTGAATGCTTACATGTTGCTTAATACACACAGGATGTACAGCAATACACAAAAATCTTTACAAATGAAAAAGAATTTAAATATTAAAATATTACAGAAATTATTATTTTCTACATAAATATAAAAAAACACTGCCTCCATGCCTTCTTCATCTCAGAGGGCTTTTTTCAGTTTATCCATGACAACTTAATTTTGTATAATGTTTGTATTATTAGTAGTATTATTTATTATTTGCATATTTGTATTGGTTTGATTAAAACAAGCTTAGATTTGTAAACCTGTCGGGTTTTGGAGCATGGAGCATAGGACATGTGTTTGGATATAACTGATATAACTAGAAATAATGGTTTTTGACCACACGTTGTAATGATTGCTCATTTATTCGTTTGCTGGAAATTAGAACTGAATTTAGAAATTGTTTTGAAACAAATCTTCGCGCTTAACAAACTAAATTAATTATGTATAGGCTAATGGATGTCTTCAGTGGAGTGTGTACCGTTTCCTTATCCAGGAAAGTAAAGGAGTAAAGAGTAAAAGTAAAGTAAAGAGAAAGTAAAGAGTCTGAATAGAGGTGCTCGTTCTTTATCCTCGCACTGCAGATGGTCTGTTTTACATTTTTCGCGCTGGTGAAGCATTCAGTTCTTCCTCTTACAAAGTCTGCCATGTAAATAGCAAATGTGCCATGACGTGACGCAACTGACCCTAAAAGGGAATAGGAGATGAGACTCTGATTGGTTTATTCTCAAAACACACCCATAAATCATAAATAAAATAAGCACAACCCTGTTAGACCATCCGCTGCAGCGCAAACCATATTTTTCTGTCCTTAAAATAGCAAAAGCGGATTCGGATATGCCCTTAATGCTTTTGCGCCATGCACTTTAGACTTTGCATCTAGATCGTTAAAATAGGGCCCTATATTTTTATACACTACTATAGCAGAAATTATTAACTTCTATATTTCTTATATTTACATACAAATCTAATACTTCTTATTTCAGTTTTGAAGCTTTAACTTATTTCAGTTAATCGCTTCAAGGTTTGTCGCAGTCACAAGCTGAGCAGTCTTCTTTGAATGTAAGAAGGTACACCCACCGGATGACTCTGGTCTACAAAGCTCTTCTTGGTCTGGCACCTTCATATCCATGTTATTTTATTCATAGGTCAAAAAGCCACTATGGCCTATGTCCAACTGAAATTTATCATTTGTCTGTTCCCCGGGTTCAAACTGAAATAGGGAAGCAAGCTTTTAGTCATAACGCCCCCTCATCCTGGAATACTCTTCAGTCTGAAAATGTTTCTGCTCTGTGTACTTAAGGTATTTCCTTTAGTTGCAGAACAATATTTTAGCTTGTGTCAGCGTTAAAAGCTACAGTCAGGATTTACATTACATTGAAAAGATGTGGACAGTGTGGTTGACCTTTTTGCAAATACACCTGTCAGATGTTACAGGGAAATTTAGTGAAGAAGTCTTTGTTTCGGCTCTGTTTAATAGCAACATAATTTGTGGAGAACTTGGTAGACTGCATTTATCATAATGAAATTGAGCAGCTGTGTTTTTTTAACTTGCACATTGCCAGTTGGTCACTTGCAGAACTTTGATCCCAATCAGCATGTTCAGGTATAATGAAACATAAAATGTGTTCATATTTACAGCAAAACGTGGAATAAAATGTTATCACCAGTTGCTCGTCAAGGATAGAGCTGATCAAAAGCAGATATAGCTGACTGGGACTTGGTATTATTTTCATGAAGTCAAAACAAGTCGTGAAAAGCATCAATAGTGAATATACAAGAATCTGCTCCAGAATTTACAAGATTGATTCACTCCAAAAGAAATTCATCATCATTTAGCCATCCTCATGTTCATGCAACACTTTATGACTTTCTTCTGCAGACCACAAAATGGGCAGAACTTGTTGCCCTTTGACATGGAATTACAACAAATATAAACTGAAATGAGCTTTAAAAACTAAATGAAAGCACTATAATCATCATAAAACTGAAACTTTTAGGTCTTATCAGTAAATTACAACATCAAATTTGGTCTATTCCTGACATAAAACTACAATACAGCTAGAGAACTCCTATATGAATATGTTGGACAAGTCTAATGGACCAGATTTATGACACTTGTGCCTCTTTTCCTTTAAAAGCCTCAGACTAGCCACATGGTGCACAATAAATCAGTACAATTCTCCATTTGTTTTCCAGTCGAGAAATAAAACCAAACAGGTTGAACGACCTGAGAGTATGCAAATGACAGATATATTATTATAGCTTGTTTAATAGCCAAAAGTGTATAGTATGTCTTTAGTACGCTTGTGTGATCTTAAGTAATTTAGCAAGTGATATGGTCACAAAGCTGAACTTGTGATACTCACCATCTGCAGGTGAAGTCTTGAGTCTGTGACAAAGGGTTTCTGTATTTGTGTAGTTCTCCTGGATCTTCTGCAGGGCCTCGGCTCCCCTGAGCTCCATCAGTGAGCACAACTCATCCACCGACACCCCAAAATCCCCATCATGGCCTCCCTGGTCCATTCCTGGCTTTTTAGGGTGGAACTCTACTGTGCTATTGCCCAGATCCCCCATGGTGCTGTGTTGGTGGTGGAAGACTGGTAGCTTTTTTTAGCAGAGGCGTTTAGCTAAAAGATGTTCACCTGTGAAGATGTTTTCTTTTGTCCTATTTGTTTTCCTTCTTACCTATTTGTAAGATGTTCTGTGTGTAGTTCTCCATTGTGAGACATGAATTGTTTGGGATTTTCTGTTCTAGGGTGTGGTGGCTGGGGTTGCTCTGAAATATCCCCCCATAAAGGAAAAGTCAACAAGTAAAGTGGTAGCCATTGTGCCAATCCATCTCTATGAAGATCAAATGATGTTACTGATTATTACAAAATAAAGGGGATCTATTGACACAGGAATAATATCTGTAAGAAACCTGTAGAAGAAAAAAAAAGGATAAAAATGTTAAACATTCATCTCTAAAATTGCTCAAAACAAAAGTAATCAAGCTGACACTAGGCATGGGTATAAGATTCTAAAGGTATGATAACCTTGGATATAAATATACGGTTTCACGGTTATGTGATTACTACTTTAAAGTATATTCTTTTTAAATGTCTGGGTAAAAAACAATCACTTTTCCCCTCTTTGAACACAATATGTTTTATTTTGAGAAACATTTAGAATTTTTGGAGAAGTAAACATGTCAGGCTAAATAATTCAAATGAATCACTGACTTCTGCTGTCTTCATTTGTTTTAAAAACACAGTTTTACCATTTAAACGACATCTTTGGATATCTCTTCTGCTAAAGATACTGTTGTCCTAACTGAAAAAAAAAGTCTTACATACACCTTAGGAACGGTATTACTTAAAACCTTGACTTTTCCAAACCGCGGTATACCTTGAAAACGGTTACCTCCCCATGCCAAGCTGACACCTCAAAAAATAACTTTTTAAATGTAAAAAGTATAAAAATATGAATAAACATATTATTAAATAAACAAATTCAACAAAATACATGTAAATGACAATGTGATTATCTTGAAATAAAAATAACTAGACAAATTTAAACAACACTGTATGAAATGCTAAATATTGTATAGACTTATATTCATTATGATTTTAAAATAAACAATATGAAACGCTATTTTATAACAATTATAAAACAGTTGAATCAAAAAAGCAACCTAAAAATATCAATTCATTAACAAGACTTGTTTGAAGTGGAATAACAATAATGAATTGTTTAAATTCGTTAAATTAGGTAAACTCTCTACCCAGGGGTCAACTGTGACCACTAGCCACGTTCGCCTATCTACCTACAAATGAGTTAATATTTAGTTAGTGTTTACCCTGAGGGTAACGTTTAAAAGTCGACAAGATCAGCATTTCGAAATGTGAAGGTGGCAGTTTGCTCACCAAGGTGTCACAGGTGTAGGTAGTTTGTGGGAAACAAGCAGCCAATTGTTCATCACTCACACCTACTGCGATGGATTGTGTACGTAATATCTGATGGAAACCGAGAACTATTACATCTAAACGCCTTTTGAAACACTCTCCGGATAAAAGCGCACTCTTCTCCCCAACCCATGTACCGCCTTTCGTTTCGACGCAAAATCTGCTGCCTTCTCTCAGAAAAAGACGCCTGCGCATGCGCACATAAACACTTGCCCAATCCCACTGCAGAACAGATTTACGAAGGCAACACTACCAGCCATCAGGCCTGCAATTTTGGATGACATTACAATCCGCTTGAGCTCTGCGCCTCCATTTCCCTGCGGTGACAGCAAGTTTAGGTTACTAAACATTTAAACCCATAATCGCCACCTCATATTTGATTCAAAATGAGTGGAAGATTTCTCAACACACATGCGCTTAATGCGAGATGATGCCCTTTCCTGGTAACCTTCAGGAATCAGATGTTCACCTTGGTCACCACTGTACAGCTGCTCGCAGCTTATGGCAGTGCCTGTGGCATGTTGTGTTATGATTTTGCGGTTAAATCACGTATTAAAAAGTAAGATGTATTAAAAACATCTGATTAAAAGAAGATCCAGCTAACCAGACAGCAAGGTTACCATCCATCAGCCTTTTTTTCAGTCTAGCAAAAACTAATAATTAGTTTTTTTTTTCCACAAGTAGATCTAGAACTTTAAGATCATAATTAAGTTTACAGCAAAATAATGGAAATTCGTATTATTATTTTTTTAATGTGAGTTATATTATTATATTAATAAAACACTTTAATGCTAAAATTAATAATCATTATAATGGTATCTTTCATAACTTCATAATACTGATGATGTATTATTATTTTATTTGAATGATATTGAAAAAACAATTGTTGATCAATCAGTAATACTTCAATGATGCTTAACATATTGCTGCATAAATGTGCTGGGCATGCCGCAAATTATTAGCATTTCCATTTGATGCATATCTACCATTATCATAAAGCACTTCAATAAGCAGACACTGGGAATAAACAAACCTAACACAAAACACCACACTTGTTAACATCAATCAACGAATAAAAATATCCACTCACCGCGCAGGCCATGTTCCAAGGACATTTGACGTGGAGTCGAAAAAAGGCAGCAAAAGTCGCAATGATTCACACAGTGATTTATCCTCAAATCATGCCCATCATGGAGATAAAATAAATGAAAGTCACATCATTTGACCTTTACGCTTTTCCAAATGCGCATCGGTGCAGAATAGGAATCAAATGACGGGTGCAGGAGGCGGCAGACGGCGGTGAGCACTTCATCTTCTGCGAACGGAAACCTGAATGATGCAGATGAGATTGTACCATGTCCGCATTAATTAATCGGTTGGAAACGGCGTGTTGTGCTGTCGGGGACGTAAAGGAGGGTCGTTTTGGTCACATCGTTGCTGTTATTTTTGGCGCTGTTGGACAGAGTGATGGGTGAAGGAGAGATGTGGATCTACATGCTGATGATGATGCCCGTTTGACGCGCATCTCGCGGTGATGGCAGCGGCGGCAGCAGCGGCAGCATCCCAGCGCTGGAGGACGGCGGATGGGGGAGGGGCGGCGAATAAGCGTCGCTCTCCGGGCCTCCCTCTCTCTCCGCAATCCCTTGGTTTTCCTGGTAAAGCACGAGAACTACTATGGTGAAGGCTTGCTGTTTAATATTCATAACCCAGGATTTGCCTCAAGGTAACCACGCAAGGTAACAACGCGACGTCAGCGCGAATAATCAATATTCATAATAACGCTCCTTGCTATTGGGAGGTTGTCGCGAAAGTTAGAGCGATACGCTTAATATTCACGAAGAAGCACTCAGCATTGGAGGATTAGCATGCGGCGTCAGCGTAAGCCTATTAATATGCATGAGCTAGGTTTTAGTCATCATTGTCACTAATTTGAGCACCACAGATTAATAAAATGTGCATGTAGACATCATAAAATTGCTTTACACGACAGGATTTGAGAGATATTTACGCTCTGTTTATCAAACAAAAAATTGACTCTAAATTGGGAGAAAATGTTATGCTCTATACAGACAACCCAAACAATCCTAATAATTACACATTAAAAAGAATAAAAATTAAAAAGACATAAGATATTGCTTGTACAAATGGTACTTTAATTCATTCACCTCTCTCTCAAATTCGGCTGGCCTTCTGAGCATTAATTATAAAGCGAGTGCTCATGCAGTCTGCCCCCTTTGCTCCATTAATAAAACATCCTAACAAAGGTTTTGAGAAACGGAGAGCTTTGATCCAATTAATATTAATTTCAATCTCAAAGAAGCCTACTTTATTGTTTTTATTATATTTATTTTTTATTGCACAACAAGAACAATAGCATACAAAAATAGGGAATACAATGCTTACCTTTTCCACATCAATCGAACAAATCAGTAAAGAATTAAATTAAAACACACACACACACACACACACACACACACACACACACACACACACACACACACACACACACACACACATATATATATATATATATATATATATATATATATATATATATATATATATATATATATATATATATATATATATATATATATTACAACAAAAAAAGCACAAGAAAAAGATTCCAAAATCTTTTATCATCAAACTATTTGAAGCTAGGCCTAATGTTTTAAAATGTATACTAAAATGACTTTTTTTCTGCTTGTTTAAACAATTTATTTAAAATGAGTTGAAACAACACAATTCTTAAGGTTTTTTTTGGCCAACTTTATTGTTTCATGTTCAATCCACTTAAATTTGGAAAAACGATTAATTTAACTTAATCAATTTGTGTTGTCTTTGTGTTGTTGCACTAGTTGTCTTCTTTCTGTACAATGGCAAAGATTTCAATTCATATATGGGCCATTTAAGACAAAGATTTAGCACTTATGGTAAAATGTAATCTGAATGCGAGCCTAATGTGGCCCATGTGGAAAATGGTACATTTGGTCCAAATGACAGAGGACAAATGTGGGCCACAGTTGGCAAAAACGTGGTAGTCATTTAAGGCTAACATGTGTCTGTGCAAATGTGGCCCAGTTATTATAAAACATATGTGGGCCACTTTTTTGCAAATATTTGGCACAGTAAGCTCTGGCTCATGTGGCTGTAAGCCTAAAGTGGCCCAAAGAAAATATAGCACATGTGGCTCAGTTATCTTAAAACATATGGGGGCAACTTTTGGCAAATATTTGGCACAGTAAGCTCTTGGCTAATGTGGTTGTGAGCCTAAAGTGGCCCAAATGTGATATGACAAATGTGGCCCAGTCATCTTGATACATATGTGGGCCACTTTTGCCAAATATTTGGCACAGTAGGATCTGGCTAATTTGGCTGAAAGTCTAAAGTGGCCCAGATGTAATGTGGCAAATGTGGCCCAGTTATCTTAAAACATATGTGGGCCACTTTTTGCAAATATTTGGCACAGTAAACTCTTGGCCAATGTGGCTGTGAGCCTAAAGTGGCCCAGATCTGATATGACAAATGTGGCCCAGTCATCTTAATAAATATGTGGGCCACTTTTGGCAAATATTTGGCACAGTAGGATCTGGCTAATGTGGCTGAGAGTCTAAAGTGGCCCAGGTGTGATATGACAAATGTGGCCCAGTTTTCTTAAGACATATGTGGGCCATTTTTGGCAAATATTTGGCACAGTAGGATCTGGCTAATGTGGCTGTGAGCCTAAAGTGGACCAGATGTGATATGACAAATGTGGCCCAGTTATCTTAAGACATATGTGGGCCACTTTTGGCAAATATTTGGCACAGTAAACTCTGGATAATGTGGCTGAGAGCCTAAAGTGGCCCAGATGTGATATGACAAATGTGGCCCAGTTTTCTTAAGACTTATGTGGCCACTTTTGGCAAATATTTGACACAGTAAGCTTTAGCTAATTTGGCCGTGAGCCTAAAGTGGCCCAGATGTGATATGACAAATGTGGCCCAGTTATCTTAAGACATATGTGGGCCACTTTTGGCAAATATTTGGCACAGTAAACTCTGGATAATGTGGCTGAGAGCCTAAAGTGGCCCAGATGTGATATGACAAATGTGGCCCAGTCATCTTAATACATATGTGGGCCACTTTTGGCAAATATTTGGCACAGTAGGATCTGGCTAATGTGGCTGAGAGTCTAAAGTGGCCCAGATGTGATATGACAAATGTGGCCCAGTTTTCTTAAGACATATGTGGGCCACTTTTGGCAAATATTTGGCACAGTAGGATCTGGCTAATGTGGCTGAGAGCCTAAAGTGGCCCAGATGTGACATGACAAATGTGGCCCAGTCATCTTAATACATATGTGGGCCACTTTTGGCAAATATTTGGCACAGTAGGATCTGGCTAATGTGGCTGTGAGCCTAAAGTGGCCCAGATGTGATAGGACAAATGTGGGCCAGTCATCTTAATACATATGTGGGCCACTTTTGGCAAATATTTGGCACAGTAGGATCTGGCTAATGTGGCTGTGAGCCTAAAGTGGACCAGATGTGATATGACAAATGTGGCCCAGTTTTCTTAAGACATATGTGGCCACTTTTGGCAAATATTCAACACAGTAAGCTTTAGCTAATTTGGCCGTGAGCCTAAAGTGGCCCAGATGTGATATGACAAATGTGGTCCAGTCATCTTAAAACATATGTGGGCCACTTTTGGCAAATATTTGGCACAGTAAGCTCTGGATAATGTGGCTGAGAGCCTAAAGTGGCCCAGATGTGATATGACAAATGTGGCCCAGTTATCTTAAGACATATGTGGGCCACTTTTGGCAAATATTCAGCACAGTAAACTCTGGCTACGTGGGTCAGATCCGTGTGGGTGAGATATGGGCCAAAATAAAAGCAAACTGTGGCCCATAATAGGGTCAGTTCTGATTCATTTAGTTGAATTCTGGTTAATATGCGATATCGCTATGGCTTAACTGTGGCCCAGATCTGGCAAACAGGAGCGGACCGATCAAGTGCCATCATTCCATGTGGCATGCGGACCGGATGTAAGTGTTTAGTGTGGGCTGGATTTGAGTCAAATGAATTTTGCTATCTGGGATGTATCTTTTATTGTGATGTGCAAGTTATACATATCACGAAATGGTGGTTTCAGCCCTGTGATAAGTTATTACATAAGATTAAAAAAAAAAGTTGTGTGGAGTGGACTGCGTTTTTTTAATGTTTGTTTTTGTGTGCAGGTTTTCTGCTTAAAAAAGCTAATTCTGGCAATGTTAGCCCCTCTACTGGAGAGGAATTACATCGCATTCTGCTTTCAGCAGGGCTACATGCTTTCTAAAGCTAGTCATTGCCATTTTCTAACATAAATATTGAATATAGGAGCCTCACTGTACTGAAACTTTGTAATAAAGGCAGCTGAGTTTATTCAGGATTTAATTTCTTTCTAAGAAGATTGCCTGGTTCTGAATAACGGATATTCATAATTGCACTAATTTTTGTTCAGTCAGGACTGGAACAGTTTCATTTTGGTTCTATGCTTCTTTTGTTTCATACTTGTTCTCAAATCCCTGTTTTAATAAGTCAAATTAAGGTTTTAACAATAGAGGAATGTGCTGTATGCCTCTCCCACTTTCTTTCCATTGCCTCTCCACCAAACACATGATTCAGATCAAGCCCCCCCTTTGAGGCTAAGCTAAACAAACATGCAGAGGAAGTACAATTCTGGGCCAAAGTTCATCCTCACACCTTACTCCTGTTCCTGGTCCAATACCTATGCTAGCCACCACTTTTAAAACAAGAAAAGGACTTGAAAACATAAGCGCAAGACATCGCTCACTCTTGGCAGTAAACCTTCACGAGTCTGCCTGCCAGATCAGGAATACAAACTGCACTGCTAAGGATTTCTTCCACACTGCAAAACTTCAGGGCGTCAACAAGGACAAGGTAAAAGGTCTCATTACTTGCCTGCATGCTTCAAAATGTTTAATTCTGCAGAAGTACTTTAGTTAGAGAACATATTACATAAAATGGAGACTGTTGAACAATGCCATTCAGAACAATATACAACGTCAGCTTTTTTGTACATTAAAATGTTTCATTCTGCAGATGTGCTTCAGTTAGTGTGCATTTAAACATAAAATGAAGACAATTAAATAATGCCATTTAGAACAATGTACAACTGCAGCCTGTTAAACAAGCACATAGATTTTGGGGCTGCAGTCATTGGTATTCAAATGCTTAGTCTTGACTGAACTTAAACTCTGAAATCTGGATTTTACCAGAACTATGTTAAGCTGCTTTGACACAATCTACATTGTAAAAGCGCTATAGAAATAAACATGAATTGACCTGAACTTAGTCTTGTTTAAATAGCCTTTATATAACTCATCTGTTTAGCAAACATGTGGGAAATTGATCTAGTTACATTTCCCATGTATGTTTAGTTGCTCATTTACAATCAATCTGTAGGGTTTAACTGAGATCTTAAAACAGTGTCCGGTCAACATTTAAAGACTCTTTCAGATAATAATATGGACTTAAGTAAAGGGTAGCCTAAAGCGATTACTATAAAAACAAGATCAAAAACAAACATGTTGCAATCATTTTTTTTTTTTTTTATCCAAGTGCAAAATATAATATATTATCCGATTGTTAAGTGTGACGTGACGCAAATCGGCTTCCAGGTCCAAGCACTCTATCAAACTGTATGGTGAGACTCAACAAATGGTAAAAATAAACGTTTACAAAGCAATGTAATATTTTCGAAAATCATAATCGCAATATACAGGGTGGGCCATTTATATGGATACACCTTAATGAATTGGGAATGGTTGATATTAACTTCCTGTTTGTGGCACATTAGTATATGTGTGAGGGCAAACTTTTGAAAATGGGTCGTGACCATGGTGGCCATTTTGAAGTTGGCTATCTTGGATCCAACTTTTGTTTTTCAATAGGAAGATGGTCATTTGACACATCAAACTTATTAAGAATTTCCCAAGAAAAACAATGGTGTACTTGGTTTTAACGTAACTTTATTCTTTCATGAGTTATTTACAAGTTTCTGACCACTTATAAAATGCGTTCAATGTGCTGCCCATTGCGTTGGATTGTCAATGCAACCCTCTTCTCCCATTCTTCACACACTGATAGCAACACCGCAGGAGAAAAGCCAGCTCAGGCTTCCAGTATCCGTAGTTTTAGGTGCAGAAACTTGTAAATAACTCATAAAAGAATAAAGTTATGTTAAAGCCAAGCACACCATTGTTTTTTTTTTCGTGAAATACCAATAAAATTAATGTGTCAAATGACCCTCTTCCTGTTGAAAAAACTAACATTGGATCCAAGATAGCCAACTTCAAAATGGCCACTATGGTCACCACCCATCTTCAAAAGTTTGCCCTCTCACATATACTTATGTGCCACAAACAGGAAGTTAATATCACCAACCATTCCCATTTTATTAAGGTGTATCCATATAAATGGCCCACTCTGTGTGTGTGTGTATGTGTGTATATATATATATATATATATATATATATATATATATATATATATATATATATATATATATATATATATATATATATGATGGCCAGAAAGTGGTTTATTTTTTACAAATTGTTCAAATATTGGTGTCTGTGATGTAGCAAGTCCAGAGAAATTTAAATTTATTGTGCGATATGACTAAAAAGTGGCCATAAATGAATATTTTCTCAATTCAAATGGGTATGGGCTTGGACCCGGAAACAGTCTTTCATACGTCACGACTTATCAAGCGGATACAACAACAGAGGCATCACAATATATATTTAAATTACTTACAAATGCAAAAAGTTGTGTTTCCCAGTCAAAACGATCAACTGATCCTATATATTTTTTCAGACAATGCTGCTGCATCCTCAGATCAGTGTCCTTGTTGCGTTTATTTGGAGTCTCCCATCACTTTCCCTGGCTGGAAAGATCCTAGTGTACCCTGTGGATGGAAGTCATTGGCTTAACATGAACATTCTTCTACAAGAGCTTCATCAGCGAGGTCATAAACTGACAGTGGTCCGTTCAGCCAACAGTTGGTATATCCCAGAAAACGCCACCCACTACACATCCATAACCATCCAAGTCAATCACCTCAGCAGCCTGGAGGACCCCAAGTACATGGCATCCTTTCTGAAGAGGAATATTGACATTCAAAGAGGAAAAGGCTCAATTTGGTCATTCCTAGCCCTGCAGAAAGAGATAATAACACTATTAGAAGAGTCTCACAGGTCTACAGCTGAGATGGTGAGGGTCGTCCTGGAGGATGAAAAGCTTATCAAAACACTTAAAGAGTCCAAGTATGATTTGATGTTAACTGATCCTGGTTTTGCAGGAGGGGTCATATTGGGTGCATACTTGGGTCTGCCAATGGTGTTCAACGTCCGATGGATTACAAACGCAGAAGGGCACTTTGCGATCGCACCTTCGCCACTTTCCTACATCCCGACTATCGGATCCAGAGTGACAGACAAAATGAGCTTTGCAAACAAACTAAAAAATATCATGCACTTCGGAATTGGCCAATACATAGACCACATGCTGACGAGGCCCCTGTATCAAGGAGTTATCAGTAAATACATAGACCCCAACACCAATGTATACGCTCTTATCCAAGGAGCAGATCTGTGGCTCATGCGAGTCGATTTTGTTTTCGAGTTTCCTCGTCCTACTATGCCCAATGTGGTCTACATTGGGGGTTTCCAATGCAAACCCTCCAAGCCTCTACCAGATGAGCTAAATAAGTTCGTCGAGAGCTCTGGAGAGCACGGGGTGGTCATAATGTCTTTGGGTACTCTTCTGGGAAGTCTGGTTCCTGACATATCTGAGATTGTTGCCTCTGCCTTTGCTCAGTTGCCCCAAAAAGTAATCTGGAGGCACGTTGGGGAAAAGCCATCTACATTGGGCAACAATACACTTGTAGTGGATTGGTTGCCTCAGAATGACCTCTTGGGCCACCCTAAAACTAAAGCTTTTGTCACTCATGGAGGAACGAATGGAATTTATGAGGCTATTTACCACGGAGTGCCCATGCTCGGACTACCGCTCATCTTCGACCAATTTGACAACATAATTCGCCTGGAAGCCAGAGGGGTGGCTCGGATGCTTGACGTCGCAACCCTAGATGTTGATATCCTGACCCAAGCTTTGAAAGACATCCTAGATGAAAAACAATCGTACCAGAAAAACATGCGCAAGATGTCAAGCCTGCATCGCGACACACCACTCAAGCCATTGGACAGTGCCATCTTCTGGCTGGAGTTCGTCATGAGGCATAAGGGTGCAGCGCACTTGCGCACAGAGTCCTACAAGCTGCCTTGGTATTCCTACCACTGCTTGGATGTGCTAGCATTAATAATGAGTTTGTGTACAGCAGCAGGTCTTCTCTTGATCTTGATAAGCAGAGCTTTGTTGAGAGCGTGTGTCAGGAAAATAAAAGCTAAAAAAGAGTGAAGAGGCAACTTTGGAAACACTAGTTTTCCTTTTTTTTATATTAGTTAAGTGCCATTAAATTGTTTACCCAGAAATGAAAATTATGTTATTTATTACTCACCGTCATGATGTTCCAATCATGTTGCTGAGTCCTTCATTCAGGTTCGGAACACAAATTATTATATTTTAGATAAAATCCAAAAGTTTTCTGACCGTCCTTATATGGGACACTCCACAAACATACATTTTCACTTATAAAAAATGTGACGGGGTCTTACATTTAAATTTAAAAAAATCATACAAAAACAAGGCATCAAATCATACAGTTCATTGATAGAACGCATCCTTGATCATTGTCAGTTTCTCCATCAAAGATTGTCACTTCCAAGTCATAGCCTTAAAGGTTTATTACATGCATTGTATGTTTAATTTAATGCAGATTTGACAGGACTGACTGAAACATGGGGGCAATTGTAAATTTATTTGTAGGCTATTATATATTTGTAGTATTTATTTGTAGAATTTATTTATAATTTTATGTGAATGATAGTTTAAACTTGCTATTTTTGAAGTGTTTTTTAACATTACAAAACTATTAAAGCTGTAGGTTCAGTTGGGCTGAGAACAAGGACTATGACAGTATTTCTACGTTTGTAAAGTGATTTTAATAAAGAACAAAACTCTGAGAACCAAATGAAGGACATATTCATTTACAGAACAGCTTGCAGAAATCAACTATTATTCCATTCTAGAAATTTTTGAGATGAAATACTTTTTACTCACTGACTATTTGTTTTTAATTTCAGAGACAGATAATGTACGTTTCTGGTAGAACGTCCCATACAGCAATGATCAAAGTTTAGAAAAGGGACCAAAACATTCTGTGACTATTGGTTTATTGGTAAACATATAAAGTTTCAAGAACAACTTTGTTCATCAATGTCAGGACACGGTGTGCATTTACTATGAGCATTACAATGCTTGCGCTGCTGACTCTAATAAAAATAGGTCATACTGTATTAAATGGGCACCCTGGCTACCTGATGCAGGAGAGAAGATTAAGTCATTTTTGTTTTTATCTCAGGTGATTGGAACAACAATGACTCATGAGTAATTAATAGCAGAATTTGTATTTTTGGGTAAACCGTCCTATTTGAAGGATGACACAGTGGCTCAATGGTTACCACTGTGGCCTCACAGCAAGAAGGTCACTGGATCGAGTCCCAGCTAGGCCAGTAGGCATTTCTGTATGGAATTCGCATGTTCTCCTAGTGTTGGTGTGGGGTTTTTTCCGGGTGTCCTGGTTGGTTGGTCTGACACATTTGCATGTGTATGAATGGAAGTCTATATGGAGAAAAGTCCAGTTTGACCACAACTTAAGATTTTGATTAGCTGGTTCAGGTGTGTCTAATCAGAGTAAAAGCTAAAATATGCAAGACAGCAGTCCTATCGGAGTAGGACTGGACAGCGTTTGCTTAAACTTTTAGGAAATGTTCATCTATGGCATGGGTCTCAAACTGGATTCCTGGAGAGCCGCAGCTCTGCACAGTTTTGCTCCACCCTAACGAAACACAGCTGATCCAACTAATCAAAGCGTTCAAGACCACTAGAAACTATTATGCAGGTGCGAGTTGAAGGTGGTTGGAGCTAAACATTGCAGAGCTTTAACCCCTAGGAATTGAGGGCGTACTCACACTATGTACAGTTGCCTTGAACCAGGCCAAAGCACGCTTGTCCCCCTTCCTGTCTCCCCCGATGGTCCAGACTCGCATTACATTCGGGGCCTGGGCATGCATACGTCATCGATTATGCGCTGGTTAGAGGCGCTCTCGCACAGCACAATGGAGATTTCTTTAGTTATATCGTCGTTTGATTTGCAGTGACACGCAGTCAAATATTTCACCGAACAGATCAGCCACTTTTGACGCTCATAATCATAAAGACCTCGTGCTGCAGGAATGAGTAGGTTTGCTAAAGGTGCAGCTGTTGTGCAGTAAGGGGTTTGCGTCTTTATTAAACTACAACAGTTTGCGATCATTGAACAGAAAAAAAAGATTAATAAACCCATAAGAAACAGTTCCTTAAAAGTCAAATCTCGCTTTTAGTTTCGGGCTCTGGCACATTTTGTACTTACGCAAGCGTACTGCGCCAAAGCCCAAGTAAACCGCGCTCACACCTAATTCAGAGCACTCACACTTCTCAAGCGATCCGGGAAACGGGCCTGGACGCAGTTCGAACAGCATAGTGTGAGTAGGCCCTGAGTTTGAGACTACTGATCTATGGAAATTTTTTAGGTTTATGAAAAATGTTTGTCGGCTAATGTGTTGCTAACAGTGTTGTTGTTGTTTTCTGTTTAAAAAAAAAAAGGAACTGCAACAGATTGTGTTTTTCAGTTTGTTTTATTGATTTGTACAGACATTGAATGAACCAGCTGTCTATTTTGCACGTAAATATTTCACTTAACACAACCACCGGCATGGTCAACAAAAATAAAATGAGTCAAAAATCAGAGTCATAATGCGACAGATGGCCGATGCTGCTGATGCTCCTACATTTTGGAATGGTGTGTTACTATATATGGTTACAATAGGTGAAATACTTGAGAGAGAGTAAAAAATAAAGTGCTCCGTCTTCATCTGTTCTACTGTGTCACTTTGAGAAAACTCATCTCACCTCTCCAAAAAGTAGCAATCCCATTTCTTTCTCTATGAAAAACAAAGTATAAAAGGGGGTTAGAAATGTCTAGGTATCTCAAATCTACAGAACACAGCTCAATTTGCACTGTGTGATATTTAAGGGGACCGATGTCATATACATGCAAGATATAAAGACAAACACTTGAACACAATCAATAGAACATGTAACCTATATAATAGATACCAGTCTGTAACTTTGTTTAGTTCCATTAGGAAAACATTACAAAACGCTTTTCTTCCTTCTGTAATAATAATAATAATAATAATAGCAGTAATTGATCCACAGCTAACTTTTCTAAACATCTGTTCCACTCACCCCACAAGTCACCAGTTTTCTTTCAATATTTCAACAGTTTCATTACTTCTTAACAGATGGAAGAGGAGAGAATGAATAAGAAAGAGAGAGAGATTAAGGAGAGAATGAATGTCTGGGAACAGCTTTGGTATTTTTTTTTTTTAAGTATAGCAAAAACATCAAGTCAGTCAAAATTACACATCTTCTTGCGATTGCAGGTTGCTCAGGTATATTAGTTTCACTTCAGTCAAGGGTTGCGCTTCAGGTTGGCACATTTTGTGTTGACTTTTAAGACATGTTGGACTTAAAAACCCTGGGAGAGGCCAATCCTTCATTTTCTTGAATTCCAAATCAACACAAATGATAAATGCAGCACATCAAAACATCTATAAAAGAGCAGCTTAAAGTTTTGTGAAAAGAAAACGTTGCGGTCTCATATACTGCATCCTCAAGTCCAAAAACAGTCCAAATATTTATAACTGGGGCTCTCATAACTACCAAATCATATTTCTTCTTGAGACTGAATAGAAGTAGCAGCCAATTTAGCACCTTTGGGAATATACAAAGCCTTAATCAAACACTGCTGTCACATGCATTCCAACTTTACAAAGGCATTTCTCTGTATTATACTATTAGTGGTGCAACAAACTCTCTGCTCAGAAATCCAACCAATAATAAACAATGAAGATTAATTTGAGAGCTACATTTTGGTCCAAACACTCATATTAAATCAGCCTAAAGAACCAAATGTCTCAATCATTTCAGAAAAATGTGGGCAAAGAGCACCTATGAAGAATGTGAATTAAAACAAGAGTAAACCAGTGAGGTTTTTTTCCAGGAAAAAGTTCAAGAAAATTACAGTGACGTGCATCAAAACAAGCTGCAACACAGCATTTCATAAACCGTTCTGAAATAAACAACTCTCCATGCTCCAGAATCTTAAGAACACAGTTGTGCAACGTTTCTCTTTAAAGCAGTCACAAATCAGAGTTGAAGTGCAATGTTGCAGTGTGCAATGAAAATTTGATGTGAAAACTCTGTGCTGGAGATTCTGCTTCATGATGAAAAGAATGAAATGCAAGTTAACATTCAGAAAAACTTGAACATAAATGCTTAGTCATTGACAGGTGAACGGTTTCATAATGTGTTGAAGCAATGCGATATTCCACAGGCCAATCAGTCAAATCAAACTTTATGCAACCCATTCAATTTGTTCAACTTTGAGGCAAACGTCATTTAAAGAGGAGAAGTTCACTAAGAGCAAATGGTTGTGCAAGAACTGATGGAAATGTAAAAATTAAAAATAACTAATTCACACAAGCCTAAAAACAAATTAGTGTCAATTACGCAGGAATAAAGACAAAAGAAACTAAATGCCTTCTTTATCCAATACCTCCCCCTTCATCTTTTATTTCCACAACTTGAGATACTCAAAATAAAATAGAAATAACGCAACTTTCCAAAACACTTTTAACACCTCTTCCCAACCACATTTGCTAAAGATGCAAATCCCGGCCTCTTAAGGGTATCTTGTTTTTTTATGTTTCTTTGTTTGTTTTTAAGAGTCACTTGCTCTCTGTTTACATTCCTCACTCTTCTTTTCCCCCAATGTATACCTTCTTATTAGTGTCCGAACTCTGCTCATCGGGGTCTTTCTGAACTTCCTCCACTTACCGAGTCAGTCCCACCACTAGGACAAGGGACTCTCCCTGCTCCCTGTTCCTGCACCAGCACCTCCTGCCACCAGGTTTCTCAGCAACTTCCTCCGGCCAGCCTGGTAATCTTCCTCATCCACGTTCACCAGGAGCTTAATGGCCTCATGACCGACTGCCTGCTTCAGAGAGTCTGTGATGAAAACGCCTTTCAGGGCTTCCAAAAGGGAGCCGTTGATGTAGTCCCGCCAGAAGGCGTCCAGGTAGGTCAGCTCTGAGAACTTGATGTCACATATGATGGAGCCTAGGTCGCGGGACTTAAGGATGGTGTTGGCCTGATTGAAACGCTCAAACTGCCTCTCCAGAGCTTCCTGCTTGTTGGAGAAGACATTGCCTTGAAGAGCAGACTCGTGCTGGCAGTACTCGGCACGCACCCTCAGTCTTATGTCTGTGAGATGAAAAACAAGATTCAAAGCATCTTGGATTAGCATACTTGGGTTTTAAGAACATTGCTTGTCTGTGGTCAAACACTCAAATGGCACATACATGTGAAAAACTATTTGATAGTGAAGCTGCTCTGTAGGGCTCCATCAGAATTCAAAATGAAGTCACAATTAAAAACTGTGATTGTCATGTACATCTTGTCAGGAAAGCATGATTCTTTTATCAATAGTAAATCTCCTCTCAAGGCCAGCGGACGCTCTTGCACAGAAACAAGCTACTTATGAAAAAGAAACTGCCAGGAAAACACCATAGGGATTACTTAAAGGTGCCCTAAAATGGAAATCTGGGTATACCTAGGGATAGTTAGAATAATGAGAGATCATTATATGGAATGTGCATACTCTGAGCCTCAGACACCACTGTTTCCTTGTTCTCATGTAAATTCCACGAGTGTAAAACCCCAGTGAACAACGGGCCAATTAAAGGACAAAACAAACTGTGACAAAACTCACTGGTCAAGGCCTTGGCATTTGCATGTAAGCCTACTTTAGGTCATTAATCCGGACCTGACGAGCAGCTACATCATCAAGAACACAACTCATATGCAGAGTGATGCGCATGTTTCAAACACATTTAGATTGCCGAATCGTGTCAAATCACTCAGATCAACTGTCATCTGTATATGCAGAAGTTTTTTTGACTGTAGCTTTAAAATACAATGTAATACATCTCTATCACTCTCTTTTGTCAAGTTTAATTGTGATTTAGACTTTATCCACAAAAGATCTGCTGAGCAAAATAGGTTAACGTTACTCTGATGGGTTTATATTCATCTGTGTTCAGCGTATATATTATGCTCTGTGTGTGTGTGTGTCTGTAATGCCAAGTTCAGACTGCATGATTTTAGCCCCAATTTTGACTCGCCGACAAGTTCCTGAAATCACAGGCAAATCGGTGCTCGTGCACGTGAGTGACAATCACACAGTATGAACTACCAAAGACGCAATCTGAGAGAATCACCGTTGAGTCACAGATGCCTGTGAAATATTTGGCGTGCTAAATATCTGGAGCTGTCTGCGATTTAAATCATACCGTGTGAAATGAGTTTTGACTGAAAATAACAACAGCGATTACCTACAGCCAATTACAGAGCAGTATTGACTTGTCTGTGTGTACCTGCAGGCCAGCGGGAGGATGAGGGAGAAAGTAAAATCGCTCTTTTTCGATTTATTTGAACCCAAGAAATGGAGGAAAAACTAGTGTAAATTTGGCACAGTGTCTGTTTGACGTTTCATACAGAGAGTTAAAAAAGAAAGTTGAGGAGAAATTGCTAATTCCCTTCAAACCCAGGTGAGCAAATATATACATTTTCTATTAAAGGTTTCTCTCTTGTTATGTAGTTAATTACAAAACATATACTACGTATTTTTGGCTATGAGACGTTATTTGGACGAAGTTATCGACAATTCTTCCTATTGTAAAGTCATGCAATGTAAAAGCCCCTGTCGCAGATACATCTTGCAGTGTAAACAAAGCAGCGACAAAACACTAGCCCAGATAGTCCTGCAGTGTGAAAACATCTGTGACATGACTACTTTGAAAATCATGCAGTCTGAACTCGGCGTACGAGTGGCATGTCAGAGCGGAGCTCATTAATATTCACGACACGAGCCATATTTGGTCAATCATGGGCCTTCTGAATTCAAGGGTATCAGGAGTAATGAGCTTATAAAAATGTTTCAGAAGATTTTTTGAACTTACTGAAGCCATAAACCTACTATGTAGATATCATAGAAAAATTGGCCTTATTAAACCAATGCAGTATATGGCACCTTTAATAATAAAAAAATAAATAACTAGACTAATCATCTTATGAATACAGAAAAAAAGTTTAAAAAGGTAAGACAAAGCTATTAAACTAATGTGTTTATTTGTCTACAAGCACAGGTCAATGGCACATTTTTACATTTTTGTGTAAATCCTATGATTAATGGGCTCATTCTATAGAGCCAAACTTTCTTGTTTTGCGTCATAAACTTTGCAGTTGTCATGACTCATGACATCCAATGCACACAGTTTTACTGTTCTAAGTTGAGCAGATTTGTCATCTTACCACAGGTCTGTTTTTCTCTGCAGTCAGCAGTTGTGTGAGATCTCTTCCTTTTTCTGCTTGGTGGAGGTGGGGCGGGTTTAGCACGTGGTGGACATACCTGGGGTCCTGATGGAGGACAGCATATTAAGGGCTGGGGTCCTGGCAAATAAAACATAATAAAAATCACTACCATGACGCAGGTCTCATTTTCAGAATGCTCAAGTTTCAGACTGAATCCATCCAATCATAGAATATCAAACGTTTATTATAATGAGCTAGCATCTCCTAGCAATCGTGCCCTTTTCTTCACATTTGAGAGTGATTTTTTTATTTTTTTTAAAAAACCTGTGAAAACCAGAGTTATTTATTTAGTGTGTTATGTCCAGTCTTATCAGTAATCATTGAAGTGTTGGAGGCCTAGAGTAAAAAAGTTCATATTTTAAACATTGTATATTA